GACCAAGGATCAAAGATGTAAGATAAAAAATGAGTGATCAAGGATCAATGAACCAGGGTAAAGAATCAATTATCAAGAATCAAGAATGAAAGTTCAACAATAAGGAATGAGGGATCGAGAATGAAGGATCAGGGAAAAAGAATAAAGGATCAAGGATCAAGGATCAAGGGTGAACCATCAAGGATGCATGATCAAGGATGAAGAATGAAGGATCAAGGATGAAGGATCGAAGGTGAACCATCAAGGATGAAGGATCCAAAATGAAGGTTGAAGGATCAAAAATGAACCAGGATGAATGAACAAGGATCAAGGATCAAAAATGAAGAAATAAGAATCAAGAATCAAGAATGAGGTCTCAATGATCAAGGATCAATGATGAAGGATCAAGGATAAAGGATGAAAGATCAAGAATGAATGAACAAGAATAAAGGATCAAGGATGAAGGCTCAAAAATGAAGGAGCAGAAATCAAGGATAAAGGATTAAGAATCAAGAATGAGAGAGTAATGATGAAAGATCAAGCATGAGGGATCAAAGATCAAGAATCAAGGATGTAAGATGAATGATCAAGAATCAAGGATTACTGAACCAGGATGAAGAATTAATTATCAAGAATCAAGAATGAAAGATCAAAAATAAGGAATGAGGGATCGAAAATGAAAGATCAAGGATGAATCATCAAGGATCAAAGGTAAACCATCAAGGATGAAGAATCAAGGATGAAGGAACCACGATGAAGAATCAAGGATCAAGGATGAAAGATCAAGGATGAACGATCAAGGATGAATGATGAAGAATGAATGAACAAGGATCAAGGATCAAGAATGAAATATCGAGGATCAAGGATCAAAGATGAAAGATGGAGGATCAAGAATCAAGCATAAAGAATCAAGGATGCAGGATTCTGTATGATATATCATTACCGAGGAACAAGGACCAACGACCACAAATCGATAAAGAACGAAGAACCGAGGATCCATGATGAAACCTCCAGGACTCGGTACTCGAGCCTAGGAGGCCAAGAGTCAGGATTTAGAAATCATGTTTAATGTTTCAACACTCAGGAGTTATGATTTAGAATTGAACATTCGAATTTAGAATTCGAGGTTTAGAAGGATCAAAGATCAAAAATCAAGAATGAACGATCAAGAATCAAGAATGAAGGATCATGGATGAAGGATCAAGGACCAAGAATGAAGGATCAAGGATCAAAGATGAAGAATCATGAATGAAGGATCAAAGATGAGGGATCCAGATTGAAGGATCAAAGATTTATATTTTGCCTTTTTTTTCTTCATATCATAGTATTTTTTGACACAACACGATACTCTTTTTTAATTTCTTGTGAAGAATTAACTATTTTGCAGTTAAACTTCATCCCTTTGGTTCACGGCGAATAAAAATAAATCATCACAATTGAGATAGGGAGGGTGGGCGGGGCTACATGTTGCCTTTTTATTTTAATGTGTGTAGACTTCTGTTCACAACATGAAACTTAAAGCATGTTTAAAATGGATAATTTGTTTAAGGAAATAACGATTTTGCAATTAGTTCCGCCCCATAATTGCATATTCCAAGTTTTCTTACAAAAACCATTTTAACCATGTTTTAAGTTTCTTGTTATGAAAAGATGTCTATGTATATTAAAAAAGAAACGGAAAATATTGACCTGACCTGACCTGACCTGACCTGAGCTGACCATCCACACTCTATATTTTTGCAATCAGCGTGTCGAGATCTACGTTCCTGAATTTTTTTAGAATTTTTGAGACAACTTTTGAAAAGTGATATTTTTCCTTCTTCAAATTTTGGCCAAATTTTGACATTTTCGAAACTTAACTAAATACATTTTCTGGTACATTTCGAGCTACAGAAGTCACTTCCGGACTCGTTTCTTTGATAGCTGCGACCGTTTTTCCGGAATCAACCGTCGAAATATTGAAATATTTTGAAATTCTTAAAAAAACGCATTTCGTACCGATTCTTTCGAAAATGTTGCTCCGTGACCGTCCACACTCTATAAAAGGATCAAAGATGAAGAAACAAGAATCAAGAATGAAATATCGAGTGTCAAGGATCAAGCATAAAGGACCAAGGATCAAGGATGTAAGATAAAAAATGAGTGATCAAGGATCAAGAATCAATGAAACAGGATAAAGAATTAATTATCAAGAATCAAGAATGAAAGTTCAACAATAAGGAATGAGGGATCGAGAATGAAGGATCAGAGAAAAAGAATAAAGGATCAAGGATCAAGGATCAAGGGTGAACCATCAAGGATGCATGATCAAGGATGAAGAATGAAGGATCAAGGATGAAGGATCGAAGGTGAACCATCAAGGATGAAGGATCCAAAATGAAGGTTGAAGGATCAAAGATGAACCAGGATGAATGAACAAGGATCAAGGATCAAAAATGAAGAAACAAGAATCAAGAATCAAGAATGAAGTCTCAATGATCAAGGATTAATGATGAAGGATCAAGGATAAAGGATGAAGGATCAAGAATGAATGAACAAGGATGAAGGATCAAGGATGAAGGCTCAAAAATGAAAGAGCAAAAATCAAGGATAAAGGATCAAGAATCAAGAAAGAAAGAGTAATGATGAAAGATCAAGCATGAGGGATCAAAGATTAAGAATCAAGAATGTAAGATGAATGATCAAGAATCAAGGATCACTGAACCAGGATGAAGAATCAGTTATAAAGAATCAAGAATGAAAAATCAAAAATAAGAAATGAGGGATCGAAAATGAAAGATCAAGGAAAAAGAATAAAAGATGAAGGATCAAGGGTGAACCATCAAGGATGAATCATCAAGGATCAAAGGTAAACCATCAAGGATGAAGAATCAAGGATGAAGGAACCAGGATGAAGAATCAAGGATCAAGGATGAAATATCGAGGATCAAGGATCAAAGATAAAGGATGAATGAACAAGAATGAAAAATCAAAGATGAAGGACCAAGGATTAAGAATCAAGAATAAAGGATCAAGGACCAAGAATGAAAGATAAATGATGAAGGATCAAGCATGAAGGATTGGGGATCAAGAATCAAGGATGAAAGATGAAAGATCAAGTAGCAAGGATCTCAATGAACCAGGATGAAGGATCAACGATCAAGAATCAAGAATGAAAAATCAACAACAAAGAATGTGGGATCGAGAATAAAAAATCAAGGAAAAAAGATCAAGGATCAAGGATGAAGGATCCAGGATGAAGAACCAAGGATCAAGAATCAAGAATAAAGTATCAAGCATCAAGGAAGAAAGATCAAGAATGAAGGATCAAGAATGGAGGACGATGGATGAAGGATCAAAGATGAACGATCAAGGATGAATAATTAAGGATGAATGAACAATGATCAAGAATCAAAGATGAAGAGACAATGATCAAGAAGCAAGAAACAAGGATCAAGAATCAAGAATGAAGTATCGAGTATCAAGGATCAAGGATAAAGAATGAAGAATCAAGGATGAATGAACGAGGATGAAGGATCAAGGATGAAAGGTCAAAGATGAAGGATCAAGGATCAAGAATCAAAAATGAAAGATAAATGATGAAGAATTAAGCATGAAGGATCAAGGATCAAAGATCGAGGATGAAAGATCAATGATTAAGAATTAAGCATGAATGATCAGGATGAATGAACAAGGATGAAGAATCAAATTTGAAAAATGAAGGATCAAGAATCAAGAGGGATCGAGGATCAAGGATCAAGAATGAAGAATAAAGGATAAAGGATCAAGGATCAAAGATGAAAGATGAAGGATCAAGGATGAAGGATCAAGCATGAAGAATCATTACCGAGGAACAAGGACCAACGACCACAAATCGATAAAGAACGAAGAACCGAGGATCCATGATGAAACCTCCAGGACTCGGTACTCGAGCCTAGGAGGCCAAGAGTCAGGATTTAGAAATCATGTTTAATGTTTCAACACTCAGGAGTTATGATTTAGAATTGAACATTCGAATTTAGAATTCGAGGTTTAGAAGGATCAAAGATCAAAAATCAAGAATGAGGGATCAAGGACCAAGAATGAAGGATCAAGGATCAAAGATAAAGAATCATGAATGAAGGATCAAAAATGAGGGATCAAGATTGAAGGATCAAAGATTTATATTTTGCCTTTTTTTTCTTCATATCATAGTATTTTTTGAACAACACGATGCTCGTTTTTAATTCCTTGTAAAGAAATAACTATTTTGCAGTTAAACTTCATCCCCTTGGTTCACGGCGAATAAAAATAAATCACCACAATTGAGATAGGGCGGGTGGGCGGGGCTACATGTTGCCTTTTTATTTTAATATGTGTAGACTTCTGTTCACAACATGAAACTTAAAATATGTTTAAAATGGATAATTTGTTTAAGGAAATATCGATTTTGCAATTAGTTCCGCCCCATAATGTATATTCCAAGTTTTCTTACAAAAACCATTTTAACCATGTTTTAAGTTTCTTGGTATGAAAAGATGTCTATCTATATTAAAAAAAAAACGGAAAATATTGACCTGACCTGATTTGACCTGACCTGACCTGACCTGACCATCCACACTCTATATTTTTGCAATCAGCGTGTCGAGATCTACGTCCCTGAATTTTTTCAGAATTTTAAGACAACGTTTGTAAAAGCGAAAATTTTCCAAATTCTTCAAATTTCGGCCAAGTTTTGACATTTTCGAAACTAAACTAAATACATTTCTTGTAGTTTTCTACAACCATAGACAACACAAACCTGAAAATTGGGTCAGGTGCATTGCGAATTGCACTTATATTTTATTGTCTTATAATCCTCGAAAATATACGGCAAATAATGATAGCAGCTAAATTATCTCCGTAGCTCTATCTTACAAATAATATCAATACAATTAATTTAACTGTGGACTTCCACATACACAATTATTGGCTAATAAACGGATTATCCGTAATAAACACCAGGTAGTTAGTGTTCATTCAATAATGACACATTTAAAATATGACCTAATCCCGCTTATCTTACTAAAAATTCATTATAGTAACAACTATTAATGATAGTGCACGAAACTTGCCATGCATCAGGGTACTTAGCCATCCTGTGCCTAACAAGCGCACTTTCAATCTGCGTAATGAACAAACTTTTCACTAATGTCGTGTCAAAAATCCCCAACTTTGTTGCAGATGTCGTACCATGACGAAACCAAAAGTCGCATTATTGGGGGAACCGAAGCCAGAGCTGGACAATTTCCGTCAGCTGCTGCCATCTACTCGACCACTTCAGGCGGTACTTACTTCTGCGGGGGTTCCCTGGTCAGTCGTCAACACGTCTTAACAGCTGCACACTGCGTCATATCGTAGACGACATAAAGCACTTTTAACTTAAACCCTTGTCAAAATTTTTGCAGAGGCTTCAAGTATGAGGTGGTTTTGGGTTCGAATAGTTTGCAAGGTAGCGCTAGCAACCCAAACCGGGTGATTGTGGCGGCGACCTCTCGTATCATCCATCCGTATTACAACTACCAGACGCTTCAGAATGATATAGCTATTCTTATTTTTCATCTTCCGATAGAACTGACAGGTGAGAAACGTGAAACTAGGTATGAGTAAATGTATAAAGTTGTTTCTAGACTATATACAGCCTATAAATCTACCGACTGAAGAAGTCGTTGATAATGTAGAAACTGTGGCGATTGGGTGGGGTCAAACCGATGATGGTGAGTACCACGAAGGTACTGATACGAGATTTTGTGGGTTTATGTTTACAGCTACTGCTGGTCTCGCCAGTCAACTTAATTACGTCACTGTTAGTACTATTTCAAATACGGAATGCCAGCTCAGTTTTACTGACGTCATTTTTGATAATATGGTGTGTGCAGCGGGGAATTACAACGAAGGTACTTGCAATGTGAGTCGCATTCTCTTAGGGTATGAAAATTTGGTTACGGTTGTTTGTTTTAGGGGGACAGTGGAGGTCCTTTAATACTGGAAGTTGACAATAAACAGTACCATGTGGGCATTTCTAGCTTTATTAGCAATCGGGGTTGTGAAAGTACCGACCCTTCTGGGTACACCAGAACGTTTCCTTATGCCGGCTGGGTTAGGAATCATATAGGGGTAAACTGATAATCAAAATACAAATAAAATAAAGTTGTACTTGTCTTTTTAATTAATAAAACAAAGTTTAAGCTGTATCCAGATTCATCACAATCCAGCTGTAATAAGGCGACGTTCTTGTATATCCAGTGGGATCTGTGGTTTCGCAACCACGGGTACTTATAAAACTGGAAACACCTACAACGTACTGGGTGTTGTTTATCTCCGCTATTAAAGGACCACCACTGTCTCCCTAAAAACGAAAATATACACAATCTAGGTTTGAAAAAATAATGAAGGTGGTTACAATGCACGCTCCTTCGTTGTAATTTCCCACAGCACACACCATATTGTTGACTATTACATCACCGAAACTAATTTGGCACTCAGCGTTGGATATGGTACTAACAGTGACGTAATTTAGGTGGTTGGTAAGACCAGCGGTATCTACAAAACCAAAATGACTCCCGTACAGACATACGAGTACTTACCATCACTGATTTGACCCCAACCAATGGCCACTGTCTCTGTATTTGCGAATAATTCGTCCCTTTCAGTTGGTAGATTAATGGGTTGAATATAATCTAGACAACAATAATAAACATTTTCAAACTTCTAACTCTAACCATACTAAACGAAAAATAATTAACCTGTCAGAGTTATAGGAAGATGGAACATGAGAAGAGCAATATCGTTCTCAAGAGTCTCTGGGTTGTAATATGGGTGTATAGAACGGTAATTGGTTGACAAAACTAGGCGATTTGGGTCGCTGCCTTGCAAAGTGGTGGATCCTAAAATCACCTGACAGTTGATAGTACTGTAAGAAACAACTGTATTAATGTTTGAATTTAAAATTGGTTTTACGTACGATATCACACAATGTGCTGCTGTGAGGACGTGCTGGGGATTAGCTAGAGCGCCTACGCAGAAATAAGTACCATCTTCTTTGGTTGCGTAGATGGCAGCAGCTGAAGGAAATTGTCCTGGTCGTGCTTCTGATCCCCCGATAATGCGGGCCACATTGTTTTGGGCTTGAAGGGTCTAATATTTTCAGAATAAGGTGCTGGTGGTGTCGATGATGAGGTACTTACAGAACTGGAAGGTGGTACCAGGAGAATAATGCCAATTAATAAACTGAGTCGTTTCATGTTCTAGAACTGAAGATGGGTACTGCTTTTACGATTTAGAATTAGGTTGCAATTTTTATTTATCGAATAAGAAAATTGTTGTAATGTAGATTAATAGAGATCGCTGTGACAACAAGGATTTTGGTAGATTAGACTTTTCTAACTAATAAAGATAGTATCGAATACCACTACGCATTCCTAAATGTTTAATTTATGGCTCTACTATATTTTTATACATTATTTTCAGTTGTACAAATTAATGTCTAACTTAAAACTGGTGAATTCGAGAGAAGTAGATTTATTATAATAACTTTGAAAATTTACTGACTCAAAAATATGTTTTTTATTTCTTGTAGAGAAATATATTTTACCTTTTTTTTTTTAATATACATAGCCATCTTTTCATAACAAGCAACTTAAAATATGGTTAAAATGGTTTTTGTAAGGAAACATGGAATTTGCAATTATGGGGCGGAGCTAATTGCAAAATCGATATTTCCTTATACAAATTATCCATTTTAAACATGTTTTACGTTTCATGTTGTCAAAAGAAGTCTAGACATGTTAAAACAAAAAGACAAAATGTAAGCCCGCCCACCCGCCCTATCGCTATTGTGATGATTTTTCTTTATTCGCCGTGAGCCAAGGAGGCGGACCTTAACTGCAAAATAATTATTTCTGTAAAGAAATTAAAAAAGAGTATCGTGTTGTTCAAAAAATACTATGATATTAAGAAAAAAAGGCAAAATATAATAAAATCGATAAAATCGTGAGTGTTGAAACATCAAACATGATTTCTAACTCCTGACCCTTTGCCTCCCAGGCTCGAGTCCCGGATACTGGAGGTTCCATCATGGATTCTTGATATTTCGTCTTTGATCCTTCATCCTTGATCCCTCATCTTTGATCTTTCATTCTTGATTCTTCATCCTTAATCCTTGATCCTTCATCATTGATCCTTGATCCTTCATGCTTAATCCATCATCTTTCATTTTTGATTCTTGATCCTTTATTCTTGATTCTTGATCATTAATCTTTCATCTTAGACCTTCACCCCTTATCCTCCATCCTTGATTCTTCATTCTTAATCCCTCATTCTTGATTTTTGATCTTTCATTCCTGATTCTTGATCCCTTATTCTTGATTCTTGATCCTACATCTTTGACCCTTCATCCTTGATCCTTCATCTTCATCCTTCATCATTGATCCTTGACCCTCGATACTTCATTCTTGATTCTTGACCCTTGTTTCTTGCTTCTTGATCCTTGTCTCTTCATCTTGGATCCTTGATCCTTATTCATTCATCTTTGATAGTTCATTCTTGATACTTCATCCCTCATCCTCAATCTTTGATCCTTGATCCTAGATCCTTCAATCTTGATCTCTCATTCTTGATTCTTGATTTTTCATTATTGATCCTTGATCATTCATCCTTCATTCTTTAATCATTCATTTTTCATCCTCGTTCCTTTATCCTTCATGCTTAATCCTTCATCAATTATCTTTCATTCCTGATTCTTGATCCTTTATTCTTGGTTCTTGATCTTTGATCCTTCATCTTTTGCCCTTCACCCTTGATCCTTCACCCCTTATCCTCCATCCTTGGTCCTTCATTCTTAATCCCTCATTTTTTATTCTTGATCCTTGATCATTGATCCTTGATTCTTGATCATTCATTTTTCATCCTCGATCCATGTCCTTCATGCTTAATCCTTCATCATTTATCTTTCGTTCTTGATTCTTGATCCTTTATTCTTGATTCTTCATCCTTGATCCTTCATCTTTGACCCTTCATCCTTGATCCTTCATCTTGATTCTTCATCTTGATCCTTAATCATTGATCCTTGACCCCCGATACTTTATTCTTAATTCTTGATCCTTGTTTCTTGCTTCTTGATCCTTGTTCATTCATCTTTGATAGTTCATCCTTGATACTTCATCCCTCATCCTCAATCCTTGATCCTTGATACTAGATCCTTCATTGTTGATCCCTCATTCCTGATTCTTGATCTTTTATTCTTGTTCCTTGATCATTGATCCTTGATTCTTAATCATTTATTTTTCATTCTCGATCCTTGATCCTTCATGCTTAATCCTTCATCATTTATCTTTCATTCTTGATTCTTGATCCTTTATTCTTGATTCTTGATCTTTGGTTCTTCAACTTTGACCCTTCATCCTTGGTCCTTCATCCTCGTTCATTCATCCTTGATCCTCCATCCTTTATCCTTGATCCTCGATACTTCATTCTTGATTCTTGATCTTTGTTTCTTCATCTTTGATTCTTGATCCTTGTTCATTCATTCTTGATCATTCATCTTTGATCGTTTATCCTTGATCCTTCATCCCTTATCCTCCATCCTTGATTCTTCATCCTTTTTCATTCATCCTTGATCCTTCATTCTTGATGCTTGATCCTCGATCACTCTTGATTCTTGATCCTTCCTCCTTCAACTTTGATTTTTCATTCTTGTTCATTCATCCTTGATCATTCATCCCAGATCTTTCATGAATGATCCTTGATCATTCATCTTTGATTCTTGATCATTCATCATTTATTTTTCATTCTTGATTCTTGATTCTTGATACTTGATCCTTCATTTTTTGCCCTTCATCCTTGATCCTTCATCCTCGTTCATTCATCCTTGGTTCTTCTTCCTTTATACTTGATCATATATCATTGATCTTTGATCCTCAATACTTCATTCCTCATTCTTTATCCTTGATCGTCCTTGATCGTCCATCCTTTATCCTTGATCCTTGATCCTTGATCTTTAATTTTTCATCCTTTATCTTTGATCCTTCATTATTGATTCTTGATCCTCGATACTTCATTATTGCTTCTTGATTCTTCATTCTTGATTTTTGATTCTTCATTCTTGATCCTGATAATTCATGCTTGATTCTTAATCATTCATCTTTCATCCTCGATCCTCAATCCTTCATCAATTATCTTTCATTCCTGATTCTTGATCTCTTATTCTTGATTCTTGATCCTTCATCTTTGACCCTTCATTCTTAATCCTTCAACTTCATCCTTCATCATTGATCCTTGACCCTCGATACTTCATTCTTGATTCTTGACCCTTGTTTCTTGCTTCTTGATCCTTGTCTCTTCATCTTGCATCCTTGATCCTTATTCATTCATCCTTGATAGTTCATCCTTGATACTTCATCCCTCATCCTCAATCTTTGATCCTTTATCCTAGATCCTTCAATCTTGATCTCTCATTCTTGATTCTTGATTTTTCATCCTTGATCATTGACCATTCATCCTTCATTCTTTAATCATTCATTTTTCATTCTCGATCCTTGATCCTTCATGCTTAATCCTTCATCATTTATCTTTCATTCTTGATTCTTGATCCTTTATTTTTGATTTTTGATCCTTGATCCTTTAACTTTGACTCTTCATTCCTGATCTTTCATCCTCGTTCATTCATCCTTGATCCTCCATCCTTTATCCTTGATCCTCGATACTTCATTCTTGATTCTTGATCCTTGTCTCTTCATCTTTGATCCTTGATCCTTGTTCATTATTTCTTGATCATTCATCTTTGATCGTTTATCCTTGATCCTTCATCCCTTATCCTCCATCCTTGATTCTTCATCCTTGATCATTCATCCTTGATCCTTCATTCTTGATGCTTGATCCTCGATCCCTCTTGATTCTTGATCCTTCATCCTTCAACTTTGATTCTTCGTCCTTGTTCATTCATCCTTGATCATTTATCCTAGATCTTTCATTCTTGATTCTTGATCCTTCATCCATGATCCTTGATCATTCATCTTTGATTCTTGATCATTCATCATTTATTTTTCATTCTTGATTCTTGATTCTTGATACTTGATCCTTCATTTTTTGCCCTTCATCCTTGATCCTTCATCTTCGTTCATTCATCCTTGATCCTTCTTCCTTTATACTAGATCTTATATCCTTGATCCTCAATACTTCATTCCTCATTCTTTATCCTTGATCGTCCTTGATCGTCCATCCTTCATCCTTGATCCTTGATCCTTGATCCTTAATTTTTCATCCTTTATCTTTGATCCTTCATTATTGATTCTTGATCCTCGATACTTCATTCTTGCTTCTTGATTCTTCATTCTTGATTTTTGATTCTTCATTCTTGATCCTGATAATTCATGCTTGGTTCTTAATCATTCATCTTTCATCCTCGATCCTCAATCCTTCATCAATTATCTTTCATTCCTGATTCTTGATCTCTTATTCTTGATTCTTGATCCTTCATCTTTGACCCTTCATTCTTGATCCTTCAACTTCATCCTTCATCATTGATCCTTGACCCTCGATACTTCATTCCTGCTTCTGGATTCCTCATTCTTGATTTTTGATTCTTCATTCTTGATCCTGATAATTCATGCTTGATTCTTAATCATTCATCTTTCATCCTCGATCCTTGATCCTTGATCCTTCATGCTTAATTCTTCGTCATTTATCTTTCATTCTTGATTCTTGATCCCTTATTCTTGATTCTTGATCCTTGATCCTTCATCCTCGTTCATTCATCCTTGATTCTTTATCTTTTATCCTTGATCCTTCATCACTAATCCTTGATACTCGATACTTCATTCTTGATTCTTGATCCTTGTTTCTTGCTTCTTGATCATTGTCTCTTCATCTTTGATTCTTGATCATTGTTCATTCATCCTTGATCGTTCATCTTTGATCCTTCATCCCTCGTCCTCCATCCTTGATCCTTCATTCTTGATCTTTCTTCCTTGATGCTTGATACTTTATTCTTGATTCTTGATCTTTGATCCTTCATCCTGGATCCTTCATCCTTGATCCTTGATCTTTTTTCCTTGGTTTTTTATTCTCGATCCCACATTCTTTGTTGTTGATTTTTCATTCTTGATTCTTGATCGTTGATCCTTCATCCTGGTTCATTGAGATCCTTGCTACTTGATCTTTCATCTTTTATCCTTGATTCTTGATCCCCAATCCTTCATGCTTGATCCTTCATCATTTATCTTTCATTCTTGGTCCTTGATTCTTTATTCTTGATTCTTAATCCTCGATCCTTCATCTTTGATCTTTCATTCTTGTTCATTCATCCTTCATCCTTTATCTTTGATCCTCGATACTCCATTCTTGATTCTTGATCCTTACTTCTTCATCTTTGATCCTTGATCTTCGTTCATTCAGCCTTGATCCTTGATCCTTCATGCTGGATCCTTCATCCTTGATGGTTTACCTTTGATACTTCATCACTGATCCTTCATCCTTGATCCTTGATCCTTGATCCTTCATCTTTTTTCCTTGATCTTTCATTTTTGATTCTTGATCCTTGATCCTTCATCTTGGTTCATTGATCCTTGATCATTCATCCGTGATTCTTCATCTTTGATCCTTCATCCATATAATTTTGGAAATTAGTTAGAATTAGTAGTTAGATAGGAAACAGGGGAATATAAATAAGACAGAATTTTGAAGTAACCAATTTTTGAAAACCTATGATTTTAAATATAAAACAAGTTTAATATTTTCGAACTTCCAGACTTTTCCCTAGCAATTTCAAGTTTCCAAACGTAGAAGATGTAGATTCCATAGAAAGACAATGAAGGCTGTAATAAGTTTTTCAAAAGATCAACAAATGTTCGAAATTTCCTTTAAATAACTGTAAATTACAAAAATATGGACAAAACTAGATATCTCAGTTTTGGGCGGAGAGATACAAAGATAAATATAGTTCTTCATGTGTATAATAAATAGATCATTACCCTTTATTCTCGTATTATAAAGGGTCAATGGTATAGATAGACCAAAAAATACAAATTGGAAACAGCTTATGTGAAGGAATTTTTTAAATATTTCTTCCTTTTTCAACACCAAAAACTTTATTAAAATCACTAGATGGATTCCAGACAGATTCTTTAACGAAACTTTGAACCAAAGTTGAAACTTAAACTTGTTCGTAATTTTGGCAAGGAATAAAACTTCTGCTTGACACATAAATTTGTTTGCGAAAAAATTAAATCGTTTCCCAACTATTAGATATCAATAATTATTATTTCCCGAAACTTTTTTTTCTGGGGATAGTTGCCACAATAATTTTCTATGATGTTCTAACAGATGTCAGCACTATGTAAAAAATCAATGTTCGAGTGTAGGATATTTTTAGATCGCAATAGAAAATAGTGTACTAAGACCTATATTTAATCGGACTTTATTATTATTTTTAGACTGAAATTCTCTCTGCGGCTAGTGCGTGTGCAGAATTTTTACACTTTCAGCTATCAACAACAGTGCCAGAATGTCTTCGTGTCAAAACCCTGCCAAAGAAATTCTCCAAGGTAACGTCACCTTCACCAACAAGATTTACCAAATCCTTTCCCGGAAACCCGGAAATGTGTTCTTTTCGCCGTTCAGCCTCCACGTTGTCCTCGCCATGGCCTACCAAGGAGCCAGAAACGAGACACTAGAAAGACTCCAAAAAGTGCTCGAAATTCCCGACCCTTTAAACACGGCCACTGGTTACAAAGAAATAATCCACCACTTAACAACCTTAGAAAATGTGCTCTTACAAATGGCCTTCAAGATCTACCTCAAAAAAGACAAACAACTCATGCCCTCCTTTGAAAACACCGTCAAAGAGTACTTTGATTCTGAAGTCGAACTCGTGGATTTTAAGCAACGAACCGAAACCGCGAAAAAGGTAAACGATTGGGTCGCCGAAAAAACACACGGAAAAATCAGAGACATCGTCGACGAAGAATCCGTTTCGTCTTCCTCGGTGTTTCTTCTTAACGCGCTCTATTTTAAAGGCGACTGGGATTCTCCCTTTTATGAAGGTGATACCCGAGAAATGCCTTTTTATTTGAATGATGACAACGTGGTGCAAGTGCAGATGATGACCGATAGAAAAAGAGCTCCCTATAAGTTCGACGAACAACTGAATAGTCAAATTCTGGCTTTGCCATACTGTGGCGACGAGGTCCACATGGTTATCATACTACCAGAAGAGAAAAACGGGATTGGAAAGTTGGAAGCTGCGATAAGTAAGATCAATCTCAGCGAAATTTTAACTGACTTACATGTAAGAAAAGTGGACGTGTCTTTACCAAAGTTTAAATTCGACAGTTCCACCGAGATGGACGATGTGGTAAAAGAGGTATGTCTTGGTAGGGTCGATGTGGTGGTTGTGTACAAACTGGTGACTTTTCTAGATGGGACTTGAACTCATATACCACGACAGGAAGGCCGATTTTAGGGACATGGCTAGATTAAGCCCTGCGCAAAATTTATACGTTACTAAAATAGTGCAAAAGGCTTGTATTGAGGTTAACGAAAAGGGGGCAGAAGCGGCTGTGACTACAGGTAAGTATGCTGATCATGCTGGAACACAAGATCGTTCTAATGATAAGGGTTTAGTTGTGGAAATGGACATCATAGAGTGCAGTGTACGCGTGAAATGCAAAGTTTACAAGTTCGTTGTGGATCATCCTGCGATTTTTATGGTTGTAGTCGGAAAGGCGGAAAACATGAACATTTTGTTTTATGGAAGGTTGTACCACCCAAAGTACTAATAAAGGAAAAATGAAACGCAGTGAAGCAAACTGATTTGATTCGTATGTATGAAATGTATCAAGATATACTGCATATTGTTTTAGGTTCTGGAAACACATGACTCTCAGTATATTTTATTAACATGATCTATGCGATATGAATAGGCATTTCAAAAAGTCTAGTTACCATTTAGGGATATGGATATGGAGAGTAAAATTTAAAACTTACAGTAAATTATTATTTTATTCAATGTTTGAAAAAATATAATATGTAATAAGTAATAAAATACAAAAATTAATATAAATTCATAATATAAATAAATAAATATATATATGATTTCCTAATTCGAAAATAATACAATATAATTTACACTTAAAAAAAGACACAGAAACTATAAACTGTCGTTGTTTTTTTTTTCTTCAGGCGTTGACTAGAATGCCGTAGCCACTCTGAGCAGCATTGTTCTACTTCTTTTTCTATTGCGGAATGGGTCTTCATTGTAATTTCTTCAAAAGTAAAAATTGTAATAATTATATTTATTGCAAAAAAAAAAAATACCTTTCATGATATTCATTGTTTTTGTCACATCCATTTTGGAATTTTCCTACCGAACAAACAAGCTACAGCAAATTCGCTGAATTTTTTTTTTTTTTTAATACACGCCCCACATTGTTCTTTTTGCCATTACCACCTATCTGGGACAATAGCAGTTCCTGAAATAAGAAAAGAAGAAAATATTTTTATGTGTATATATCGAGTGACTCTGAAATAAGTTCGGAAAATAAAACCACAACATCACGAAGTAGAGAAAATTTTAAGTAATTTCTTTTATCTAGTCCTAATTCAGGGGAAAAAATATCAAGATCTACACCTCATTCAGTGCCATTTGTTTTCATCTAAACAACATACAGCAAAAATAAAGAAAAAATTTAGTCACAATGGAAACTGAATAAATCATTGCCGCATCATTTACATTTAACAATTAAAGGATTTTTTTTTCCGAATCTATTTGGACGTCACCGCGTATGTATAACATACAGGGTGCTTCACTATAAGACTTTTCTGCAACCCACTATGTATGTAACGTGTTAAGCGAAATGTGTCATGTTTAGTAGGTTCCCAAAAAGTGTAGTATTACAGGCATCTACCTCTATATAATATCCAAAATTATGTTATATGTAAGTACATATAAATTTATTGTATTTTTTTAACTTACAAAGAAACCTGCTTGTTGTAGTAGGCAGAGATAATCTTCTAATTCCTCAAAATTTGTTTACCTGTGGTCTTGGCGGCATATCTTCTATTACTGTTTTCTTTTTGATTTGTCACATTTGATGACGATTTCATTTTGGAGATTTGTTCACTCGTTTCCTTTAGAATTTCTTTTGTTTCGCACATATTTTTTGTATTTGTTTCAAGCCTAGGGTAAAATTATGTTTATTAGCATCTAGTTCATAAAAAATTGCAGTAACATACCTTTGCAACAAGTTTAGGCAAAGCGCCTCACTTTCAAAAACAATCACCGTAAGTTCTTCAAAATCAGCGGGAGTATCTTCAGTGATTAACGGTGGTATTTCCAGCTTATCTGAAAAAACTGTTGTTGTTATTTACGTACAGTTATCAAAAACAACAGAAGCATGTAAAAATTAAAATGATTACTTCAATAGAATTATATTAACTTACCTAGTGTAAATACAACCCACACTGAATGGCAGAATTTTCACAAAACTGCATTAAAAATGAAGTGAGTTACGGGTTCACGAGAACGGTTCGGTGGTTGTGAACCAAATGGCCAAATGGAATTCGACAGCTTCACTGTGAGTGTGAAGTGCAATAACCATAAATACGGAAAAAAGGGATCGTCCGACTCATAGACAAACCAAACCAACAAAGGTCCGACTACACCCCCAAACATCTGGTGGATAGTAAATGCAGAAGTTGAGCGTTATTTTTTCATTAGATGAAATAAATTTAATAAAATCAAAATTAACCACTCTCTAATTTTTTTGCTGCCTATCATCGCTTTATAAACGTCTTTATAAAATCAAAATTCGACGAATGAACTCTTCAAAACCTTGTCCCGTTTCAGGGACAATGGGCAAAGAATTTTTATGGCTTTGTTTGTCGTTGGGTCTTCCCTATATTACCCCAGATGTTTAAGGTGACCTGACGTTCCGATTTGATCGGAACTGTACCGATTTCAATACTCTAATTCCGATTTCAAATTTCGTCCAATAAATGTTCCGATTAAAACATTCGTTCCGTGAATGTTCCGATTTCTATAAATCTGATAAGAATAAAGATAAATCCTCGGATAAATCACTAATTTTCATGAATAGTAATTTTATTTTGTGAAAAATTGGGAACAAAACGTGTATCGATACGGTTGTCAGCAGTGTTTTAAATGTCACCAAATGTCAGTACTGTTAGTATATTACAACTAAAAATTTTCAAAGCAGTTATATATCAGATTACGATGGAAATGGAAACTAATGTTCCAATTTCGGACTTTTGAAATCTGGTCACCTTACAGATGTTCTATTTATAATTTGCCGAGCAGGTACTTACAAAATAACATTTCAACTGAACAAGTTTACAGAAATAATTCTTAGAAATTATTACAATGAAAAAAACTTGTCTTTGGTGTATTTCTAATAAAGCCGTTGTATTTTTCGCTCTGAATATAATTATTAATTAAGCATTACGAACTCACTGACGAAGGTGACTTTTTAAAGAATACGACGACCCACATCTAATTGACCATATAATCTTTAACAATAAATTTCAAATAATACTATAGTGTTTTTTTTAAATTTTGATAAGGTGTTGTAAAACTATTTCTGTTTCTGTCTTCATTCCAGATACTGTATTTACGTGGGCAAAAGATGCCGTACGTGGGATTTTAGGGGCGGAAACATATACCTGCTTAAATACTGTAAATACAGTGGTGTCGAACGAAGACAAAAACAGAAACATACCCGATGTATTGGTTATTAATAGAGAAAGGATTTTATGAAATTTGCATATCCGTTATTTTTTGCATATAAGTCTTGATATTTAATATGTGAACGAATCATGCTAATTAAAAATGAAAACAGCTATAAAAAAATTGCATATTTGCATGCTGCATATTTCACGTAACGGGTGCATATTTTGAATTTTTATCAATTTTTGTGCTACTTTGAAAAAAAAAAATGCCATTCGATCGGCATTTTTCTAGAAAGAGGAAATTTCATAAATTATATTGCAAATATTGTCCTGAGCTTCAAATAACTGGGAATTTTTGGGTTTTATGGTAGTTTGGAGGAACCACTTGGTGTTAAACCATCCTTCCAGGTAAATTCGGGTCCTAATTACTTTTGGAAATACCGTTCATTTCAATATTTTTGTTCGTTACTTAAGTGTATTAATGGTATGTTTTATGGTGGTCGAAGGGACGTTATCCTATTATTTTTCATCGTGAGTTTGCATTTAAGTATTTAAAGCGATAGAGATGTGTGTCAATATGTAGATAACTCAAATTAATTTATGAATTAAACCTTTTCCTTAACTTATTCTTCAAGAAGGAACTGTGTTTTGTTGTGCCTGCCCTAATCCGATAAGTATTTTTACATCTGTGGACGCAGTACGCAGTTTTTCTATTTACAAATAGGTACATACTTTAGAATCACCGGACAAATTTTTGTTAGAATATTTCGATATTTTAAAAATAAATTGTTACCAAAATAGTAATTAAATAGTCGATTACTACTATTTTTTAATTCGTTCTGTTTACCTATATTTATTTTTTAGGATAAGAATATTATCTTAAAAAATGTCATTTATTTGTCAGTGAGATCTAATTAAACACTTTGCAATGTGATTTATGTATTTTTTGTAATAAAAGGTAAGGTGTTTTTGCAATTTGTAAATAAATTTAGTTCAGTTATTACGCTTTTTTTTTTAATTTTTGGAGCATATGTAACTGCATATCTCTGCATATATTAAGAAAGTTATTGCACATTTGCATAGATTTGATGCATGTCATATGATCATATTTCCCAAAATTTTGCTGCATATTTTCCGCTTTCTAGTTATTATACATACATTCTATTACCGACATTAAAAAAAGTGTACACTATTTCGTCATATCTGCTGCTTTATTATCAGTTTTCAGTTAGCTACATATTGGATATGAAATTAAGTGAATTTTTTGAATAAATAATAATTTAAAAATCAACCACGAAAATACTCAATTATAATTATACATTATACATTACCAGTTTATTTTAGAGCCCAAGATTACATTGGAAAAATCTAAACTTTTGAAAATTTAATGTTAAACAGATGATACCTATAACTGAGTGCGAAAGTCAATACACAAAACTCGATGATCAATTATTGTTTCGTATTCAAATTATTATCTATTTTCCTTACGATCAAAGTGAAGAAATTATTTAATTCATTTTTATTTAAGAACGATATCGCTGACCTTGAAATAGATTAGTTTTTTAATTTCGATTCTTTCTTTGTGTTGCTTTTGTTGCCGATCAACATATTTTGCATTAGAATTAATAAAATAATGAAATATATCATTTTATTTTTCGAGCTCATTTCAAAATTCTGTATATGTATAATTGTTCCGTTTTGGAAGTGACGCATAGGCAGACGTTAAAAAATAATCTCTCATTACTAGTCTTAATTCGTATTACCTGTTAGATGGGACACTTTTTAATTCTGATCATAAACTATGTGCATTAAGTCTCTTGTCCTGTTTTATAACGCGCAGGTCGTTGTGGACGTATAAAAATAAAATTATAAATAAATATAATTACAGGAAATATAATATGAAAAAAAAAATTAAGAGCAACTCACTATTGGCGTCATCTCGCTTGTGCCAGATTTAAGACAGGGAAGAAATTGCTTTTTTTAAGACTCAGCATCTTTTGTTTATGAATATACTATTTACTTGCAACACAAACATAAATAATAAATATAAAATAGAGCTATATAATACTCGATATGTATGTTTTTAAATGTTTTTTGCTGTTGCCCTGTCAGAAACGTTAATTTTCGATTTAACATGCCATTTTGTAAAATGAACTGAAAAACACTTTACATAATTAACTAATAAAAATAAAACATTCCGAAGCATGTATATGTATATTAATCAGATATCTAGTAACTACAGTTAATATATCTTATTGGTTACATAACCGTAGTACTCCATTGTGATGTTACAAGGCTTACCTGCCAACTATATCGCTGCGACCCAATAATGAGATATCTAGTAAATGCAGTTAACATTAGGTGTTAGTTACATAACAGGAATACCACAGTGTGATGTTTAAATGCTTATATGCAAGCTATACCGCTGCGACATAATAATGAGATATCTAGTAAATGTAGTCAACATTACGTGTTGGTTACATAGCATGAGTACTCCATTGTGATGTTATATAGCTTACGTTCCAGGTATATCGTTAAGACATAATCATGCGATGTACTTATTGTTCTTTTGTGAGTACGTACCAGTCACGTCAACATCACAACTGTGTTTACTGGGAAGAAAGTCTGTACGTTTAAAAGAAACTTTTCTCGGGTTGTCTCCACAGAGTTCTTTTTGATGTTAAAATTTCTCATCACTTTTAAGAAGTCTTGCCTCAGTATTTTTACGAAAGCAGTTTTAACTCACCCAAGATATCATAAAATTTTGTTTGTACCTATGATGACAGTGTTGTGGGTTTACAAAAATGACACCGAACCAGTCAATACTTTCGTTAAACACCAGAGAGCAAGTCTTCGAAGCGATTCACGCTTGCGTGGAATTGCGTTTAGTTTTATTAGTGACAGTTCAGTTGTAGATTGAGATGCAGATCTTTGTAATGTGACGAATCAACATTGTCAGATTCGTTCAATCTATATTGTGACAAAATTGGATTAAAATTTGATCTACCAGTTCATAATATTCAGTTTTGCAGATTACTTTAACAAAAAGATATACTTGAATCAACATTCAAAGAAAGAAACATCTCCTCAACAGCTGGTTCAACAATTCCCTTCAAAGTAAACAGTTGCTAGAAAATTGAATACCTTGTATCTCTTATAAGAGAAGGATAACCATATTTTCGAGGTAAGCGCGAAAAAGCAAATCATTTCTGTTTTAGATTTTTGCACCAATTTAAATATCTGTTATAACAGTTTTCTAAATTATAAAACTATTATAAACAATAAAATTTCCTCTGAACACTTTTTTATTTTAATTTTTATTTCTACAATTATAGTAACAAAAGTACGATTTGCTATGGTATATAATATCATAAATATCGTGTAAATATATACTCTATGAACAATAAATATTTGAAACATTTTAATTCTCAACACATGCTTTGAATATCACATTATCTTTAAATATACACAGCCTGTTTTAGATTTCAGCAAAGAAACAAAATTAATCTTAGTTGGTTTTAATAAGTTTGCAGTTGAGTGGATGTTTTAGCACATTTAGAAAATTCGGTTTATAGTTTTGAAGGGTTTTCTCATGAAATTCACGAAATTACTCAAGACATCCCTCCTTACTGCTTCTTCAGGGTGGGCCAGTCTTCCATAAAATAAAACGTTTGGTTTTTCAAACAATCCGGCAACAATCATAAAAACCGCAGGATGGTCCACAATAAACTTCAAAATTTCTCGTTTTATTGGTGGGTTGCTTACCAGAACACACTCTCCTACAACTATACTATACATTAGTACGATTTTTTAAAATTTGATTAGCACATGTACCTGAAGCAGCAACAGCTTCTGACCCCTTTTCGTTAACCTCAATACAAGCTTTTTGAAGTATTTTAGTTACACACAAATTCTCCCCCTCCTCGAGTTCGATCGTCCCTCTAAAGTCGGCTTTGTCTTCGTCATAAATCACTTCAAGTCCAATCTAGAAAAAATCACAAACTGATGGACAATTTTACCTCGCTGATACCATCAGCACACATACCTCTTTCATCAAGTCATCCATTTCCATGGTCGTCTCGAATTTAAATTTTGGTAAAAACACATCCACTGCCGTATAATCCAATCGACTGAAAATTTCACTATGATTCATTTCAGACAGTAGAGCTTCCATTTCTCCAATTCCATTTTTATATACTGGTAGGAAGATCACCATGTAGATCTCCTCACCCTCATACGGCAAAGCGAGAATTTGAGACTTTAATTGTTTATTGTCGTTGTAAAAAACATATTTCCGACCATCCATCATTTGCACTTTGACCACATCCTGTTCGTTCAGATAAAAATTTCTCATCTTAGTCTTACGTTCAGAAAAAGGTATATCCCAGCTGCCTTTAAAATATATCGCGTTAAGAAGAAGCAAAGAAGTAGAAGCTATCAAATCGTCATCCACGATATCCTCAATTTTTCCGCGTGTTTTTTCAGCGACCCATTCGTTTATTTTTTTGACCGTAGCGCTCGTTTGATCAAAATCCAGGGATTGCACTTCCGAGTCAAAATACTTTTTGACCGTGTTTTCGAATGAGGATAAAAGTCGAAATTCTTTTCGAAGGTAAATTTTGAAAGCAGTGTGTAAAAGTGCGTTTTTTAATGACGTCAAGTTGCGCGTTATTTCTTGGTAACCAATTGCTGTGCTTAAGGGGTCAGGAATTTGAAGTACTTTTTGGATGGTTTCTAGTGTCTCGTTTCTGGATCCTTGGTACGCCATGGCGATGACAATGTGAAGACTGAACGGAGAAAAGAACACATTTCCGGGTGTCCGGGAAAGGATTTGGTAAATCTTGTTGGTGAAGGCGGCATTTCCTTGGAGAATTTCGTTGGTAAAATCTTGACTGGAAGCCATCAAAAGTTATTTAACACTGAAGAATGCTCCTCACGCTGTTGTTAATAGCTGCAATTGCAGAACAATTCAAACTAACCAACTTTGGAAATTTTCGGGACACATTGAGTTGATGAATTTAAAACAAATTAAATCCACAATTAGTTGCGTTGTTAACGAAATTAACATTGTGTACCTAAGTAATTCTGATTCGTTAAATAAAAAAGTCTGTATGATATTCAGCCTACGCTACGTTTAGAAGAAGCTTTTCTCGACTTTTCTACAGACAGCGCTTTTTGGTGGTAAAACTTTTCATCGTCTTTAGAAAGCTGCTGAATTATGATGTGATGCTTCATTATCTTTACGAAAGCAGCGTTACGAGTAACTCACCTCAGAAATCCCTAGATTTTTTTGTACCTACGATGACAGAGTTGTGCGTTATATAAAAATTATAGTGGACCAATCAATACTTTCCCCAAATATCAGAGAGCAAGTCTTCCAAGCGATTCACGCTTGCGTGGAATTGTCTTGTTTTATTGCTGGCAGTCCAGTTGTATATTGACATTTTGATTAAAACCAAACAATTTTGGAAGTTGCGAGTTCAAATTATAACGTTGTTAATTCGTGGCTAGGACCATTAAATTAACTATTCTTCAGGTGGATGCTATTACGGTGACATACAGAAATCGAAATGAGAATTTAGTTTAAGAAACAGATGTCTCGTACCAATTTATTTATAATAAATCCAATTATATATTTTTTATAAAACAAGAGTGTTTGTTTGCTACAATTTTACGTATCAAAATAACCAAAAACGACATGTAGTTGATCTTTAACTTGAGACCATTTAGTACATATGAATCAAATCAGTTTGCTTCACTGCGTTGCATTTCTTCTTAATTAGTACTTTGGGTGGTACAACCTTCCATAAAACAAAATGTTTGTGTTTTTAGGCTTTCCGGCAACAATCATGAAAATCGCAGGATGATCCACAACGAACTTATAATTTGACTTTTGTACGTACGTACAGCATACTTCGACTTGCATTTCTATAACTAAACTTCAAACATTAGCACGATCTTGTATTCGAGCATGATCAGAACACATACCTGTAACCACGGCCGCTTCTGCCCCCTTTTCGTTAACCTCAATACAAGCCTTTTGCAGAATTTTACTAACGTATAAATTTTGCTCAGCGCCTAATCTTATCATCTTCTTAAAATCGGCGTTCACTTCGTCGTACATCACAGCAAGCCCCATCTAGAAAAGTCACCAGTTTATACACAACCACCACATCGACCCTACCAAGACATACCTCTTTTACCACATCGTTCAACTCGATGGACGTCCCGAATTTAAACTTCGGTAAAGACACGTCCACTTCTCTTCGACGCAAGTTAGTGAAGATTTCACTAAGATCCATCTGACTCAACGCAGCTTCCAGGTTTCCAATCCCATTTTTTTCCTTTGGTAGTAAAATAACCATCTTGATCCCGTTATTACAGTAGGGCAAAACCAGAATTTGACAATTCAGTTGTTCGTCGAACTTGTAGGAAGCGTTTTTTCTACCCGTCATCATCTGCACTTGCACCACGCTCTCATCATTCAAATAAAAAGGCATCTCTCGAGTTTTATTTTCAGAAAAGGGTGAATCCCAGTCGCCTTTAAAATAGAGCGCGTTAAGAAGAAACAGACAGGAAGACATAACGGATTCTTTGGTGACGATCTGTCTGATTTTTCCGTGTGTATTTCGGCGACCCATTCGTTTGCCTTTTTTGCGGTTTCCGTTGGTTTTTTAAAATCGGCGAGTTCGACTTCTGAGTCAAAGTACTCTTTAACGGTACTTGCAAATGACGGCAAGAGTTGTTTTTCTTTGTCGAGGTAGATCTTGAATGCTGTATGTAAGAACCCATTTTTTAAGGATGTCAAGTTGCGGATTATTTTTTTGTAACCAATGGCCGTATTTAAAGGATCAGGAATTTGGAGCACTTTTTGGATATTTTCTAGTGTCTCGATTCCTGCTGCTTGGTAGGCCATGGCGAGAATAACGTGCAGACTGAACGGCGAAAAGAAAACATTTCCGGGTTTCCGGGAAAGGATTTGGTAAATTTTGTTGGTGAAGGCGACGTTACCTTGAAGAATTTCTTGGACAGGATTTTGATCAGAAGACATTTAAAATGATTTTACACCGAAGACCAGTTTTAGCACTGGTGTTGATAGTCGAAATTATAAGAATTCTGCATACGCACTAGCCGCTACCGACTTCAATTTAAAAATAAATTAATTCTAAAATTACAGCTGCTGTGTATTTTAACCTATAAATATTCTACACTCGAAAATTGGCATTTTTTACATAGTGCTGACATCTGTGTCTTGAGTACCACGAACGAAACAAATCTTCCAATATAGACGTAAATCATGTTTGCGGAGATGAAGCTAAATGTTTTGTGTACCGAAATAAAGTTAAATATTTACAAAATAAGATTGACTATGGTTCATAAAGTTCAAAAAAAATTTAAAATAAATGTTCGGTCACTTACAGCTAGTTTTGTCGATTTTTGTGACTCGGTTAATGCAGATAACTTTGATTTCGTTGGGATTAGCGAAACATGGCTTTCAAATAAGATTGCTTCTGCTGATGTAGGTCTGAATGGTTACAACTTATTTCGTATGGACAGACCCGATGAGCGAAGAGGAGGTGGAGTAGGTTTTTATGTAAGAAATAACATAAATTGTGATACTGTTAAATTTGACGTTGATCATAATGATTGTATGGAACATATGTGGCTTAAATATAAGGTTAATATACAAGCATTCTTATAGGAGTGATTTACAGACCGGAAGGTAATTTAATGAATACTATTAACTTAGTAGAAGATATTTTGTCCCAAGCAATACCAGAGTACGACATAGTTGCAATCGTAGGTGATCTTAACATTGACCTATTAAATATTACTAATGTGCTAACTGACTCTATGTCTAATTTTGACATGTTTCAAATTATCGATGAAGCTACTAGAGTCACTGTTACATCAACGACTTTAGTTGACCATATTTTTTTTAACAAACCGGGTTTAGTCTTGAACAAAGGTACGAAAAATGCAGACGCCATATCAGACCACAGACTGGTATTTGCTGAATTAAAAATTTGTTCGCCGATACAAAAACCAAAGTATATTACATTACGAAATTTAAAGCAAATAAATAATGATCTCTTTCAGTTAGACTTGTCAAGTATACCTTGGGATAATGTGATAATAAAGCAGCAGATATGATGAAATAGTGTAGACTTTTTTTAATGTCGGTAATAGAGTGTATGTATAATAACTTAATAACCAATACATCGGGTATGTTTCTGTTTTTGTCTTCGTTCGACACCACTGTATTTACAGTATTTAAGCAGGTATACGTTTCCGCCCCTGAAATCCCACGTACGGCATCCTTTGCCCACGTAAATACAGTATCTGGAATGAAGACAGAAACAGAAATAGTTTTACAACACCTTATCAAAATTAAAAAAAACCACTATGGTATTATTTGAAATTTATTGTTAAAGATTATATGGTCAGTTAGATGTGGGTCGTCGTATTCTTTAAAAAGTGACCTTCGTCAGTGAGTTCGTAATGCTTAATTAATAATTATATTCAGAGCGAAAAATACAACGGCTTTATTAGAAATACACCAAAGACAAGTTTTTTTCATTGTAATAATTTCTAAGAATTATTTCTGTAAACTTGTTCACTTGAAATCTTATTTTGTAAGTACCTGCTCGGCAAATTATAAATAGAACATCTGTAAGGTGACCAGATTTCAAAAGTCCGAAATTGGAACATTAGTTTCCATTTCCATCGTAATCTGATATATAACTGCTTTGAAAATTTTTAGTTGTAATATACTAACAGTACTGACATCAGCTGACATTTAAAACAGTGCTGACAACCGTATTGATACAAGTTTTGTTCCCAATTTTTCACAAAATAAAATTACTATTCATGAAAATTAGTGATTTATCCGAGGATTTACCTTTATTCTTATCAGATTTATAGAAATCGGAACATTCACGGAACGAATGTTTTAATCGGAACATTTATTGGACGAAATTTGAAATCGGAATTAGAGTACTGAAATCGGTACAGTTCCGATCAAATCGGAACGTCTGGTCACCTTAAACATCTGGGGTAATATAGGGAAGACCCAACGACACAAACAAAACCATAAAAATTCTTTGCCCATTGTCCCTGAAACGGGACAAGGTTTTGAAGAGTTCATTCGTCGAATTTTGATTTCAGAAAGACGTTTATAAAGCGATGATGGGTAGCAAAAAAATTAGAGAGTGGTTAATTTTGATTTTATTAAATTTATTTCATCTAATGAAAAAATAACGCTCAACTTCTGCATTTACTATCCACCAGATGTTTGGGGGGTGCAGTCGGACCTTTGTTGGTTTGGTTTGTCTATGAGTCGGACGATCCTTTTTTTCCGTATTTATGGTTATTGCACTTCACACTCACAGTGAAGCTGTCGAATTCCATTTGGCCATTTGGTTCACAACCACCGAACCTTTGTCGTGAATCCGTAACTCACTTCATTTTTAATGCAGTTTTGTGAAAATTGTGCCATTCAGTGTGGGTTGTATTTACACTAGGTAAGTTAATATAATCCTAATGAAGTAATCATTTTAATTTTGACATGCTTCTGTTGTTTTTGATAACTGTACGTAAATAACAGCAACAGTTTTTTCAGATAAGCTGGAAATACCACCATTAATCACTGAAGATACTCCCGCTGATTTTGAAGAACTTAGGGTGATTGTTTTTGAAAGTGAGGCGCTTTGCCATAACATGTTGCAAAGGTATGTTACTGCAATTCTTTATGAACTAGGTGCTAATGAACATTATTTTACTCTAGACTTGAAACAAATACAAAAAATATGTGCGAAACAAAAGAAATTCTAAAGGAAATGAGTGAACAAATCTCCAATATGAAAACGTCATCAAATGTGACAAATCAAAAAGAAAACAGTAATAGAAGATATGCCGCCAAGACCACAGGTAAACAAATTTTGAGGAATTAGAAGATTATCTCTACCTACTACAACAAGCAGGTTACTTTGTAAGTTAAAAAAAAACAATAAATTTATATGTACTCACATATAACACAATTTTGGATATTATATACAGGTAGATGCCTGTAATACTATAACACTTTTTAGCAACCTACTAAACATGACACATTTCGATTAACACGTTACATACATAGTGGGTTGCAGAAAAGTCTTATAGTGAAGCACCCTGTATGTTATACATACGCGGCGACTTTCAAATAGATTCGGAGAAAAAATCCTTTAATTGTCACACGGATTCAAAGTAATTAAATTGCTGCTCCAGTTTCAAGAAACAAATACGGAACATCTTGTTAAATGTAAATGATGCGGCAATGATTAAATTTTTTCTTTGTTTTTGCTGTGTGTTGCTTAGATGAAAACAAATGGCACTGAATGAGGTGTAGATCTTGATATTTTTTCCCCTGAATTAGGACTAGATAAAAGAAATTACTTAAAATTTTCTCTACTTCGTGATGTTGTGGTTTTATTTTCCGAACTTATTTCAGAGTCACTCGATATATACACATTAAAATATTTTCTTCTTTTCTTATTTCAGGAACTGCTATTGTCCCAGATAGGTGGTAATGGAAAAAAGAACAATGTGGGGCGTGTATTAAAAAAAAAAAAAAAAATCAGCGAATTTGCTGTAGCTTGTTTGTTCGGTTGGAAAATTCCAAAATGACTGGGACAAAAACAATGAATATCATGAAAGGTATTTTTTTTGCAATAAATATGATTATTGCAGTTTTTATTTGTGAAGAAATTACAATGAAGACTCATTCCGCAATAGAAAAAGAAGTAGAACAACGCTGCTCAGAGTGGCTACGGCATTCTAGTCAACGCCTGAAGAAAGAAAAAACAACGACAGTTTATGGTTTCTGTGTCTTTTTTTAAGTGTAAATTATATTGTATTATTTTCGAATTAGGAAATCATATATAATATTTATTTATTTATATTATGAATTTATATTAATTTTTGTATTTTATTACTTATTACATATTATATTTTTTCAAACATTGAATAAAATAATAATTTACTGTAAGCTCTAAATTTTACTCTCCATATCCATATCCCTAAATGGTAACTAGACTTTTTGAAATGTCTATTCATATCGCATAGATCATGTTAATAAAATATACTGAGAGTCATATGTTTACGATGTTGCGATATATACGTAACGTCTATGTCCATTTAATACGTTATATTGGCGTTTGAAATAAAACGTAACAGATACATCAAAATATAGACAATCTAGCGACATACTAACACAACGTTATGATGATGTACCAACGAGCACGTCTCTAGTCTGAAACAATGTGGATGTCACCAGTATGTTACAAGCATAGATCACTGTTGATTACATTACATACCACAGGGAAAGCAAATGTACCCAGTTTGGGATGTAACAGCTAACAAGTTCGTAGGCAGAGTTAAGTGTGTTTACTGGGTATCATCCATCTAAAGAATTGTGAATTTAATGGTCCTAGTAGCCCCCAATTAACAACGTTATAATTTGGACTCGCAACTTCAAAAATTGTTTGTTTTTAATCAAAATGTCAATATACAGCTGGACTGCCACCAATAAAACAAAACAATTCCACGCAAGCGTGAATCGCTTGGAAGACTTGCCTTCTGAGATTTGGGGAAAGTATTGATTGGTTCACTATGATTTTTATATAACGCACAACACTGTCATCGTAGGTACAAAAAAATCTAGGGATTTCTGAGGTGAGTTACACGTAAGGCTGCTTTCGTAAAGATAATGAAGCATCACATCATAATTCAGCGGCTTTCTAAAGACGATGAAAAGTTTTACGACCAAAAAGAGCTGTCTGTAGACAAGCCGAGAAAAGCTTCTTCTAGTCGTAGGCTGAACATTATACAGACTTTTTTATTTGACGAATTAGAATTACTTAGGTACACAATGTTAATTTCGTTAACAACGCAACTAATTGTGGATTTAATTTGTTTTAAATTCATCAACTGCACTTTTAGCTATTAACAACAGCGTCAGGAGCATTCTTCAGTGTTAAATGACTTTTGATGGCTTCCAGTCAAGATTTTACCAACGAAATTCTCCAAGGAAATGCCGCCTTCACCAACAAGATTTACAAAATCCTTTCCCGGACACCCGGAAATGTGTTCTTCTCTCCGTTCAGTCTTCACATTATCATCGCCATGGCGTACCAAGGATCAGGAAACGTGACTCTAGAAACCATCCAAAAAGTCTTTCAAATTCCTGACCCCTTAAGCACAGCAATTGGTTACCAAGAAATAACGCGCAACTTGACGTCATTAAAAAACGCACTTTTACACACTGCTTTCAAAATTTACCTTCGAAAAGAATTTCGACTTTTATCCTCATTCGAAAACACGGTCAAAAAATATTTTGAGTCGGAAGTGCAATCCCTGGATTTTGATCAAACGAGCGCTGCGGTCAAAGAGATAAACGAATGGGTCTCTGAAAAAACACACGGGAAAATCGAGGATATAGTGAATGACGATTTGATAGCTTCTACTTCTTTGCTTCTTCTAAACGCGATATATTTTAAAGGCAGCTGGGATATACCTTTTTCTGAACGTAAGACTAAGGTGAGAAATTTTTATCTGAACGATGACGATGTGGTGAAAGTGCAAATGATGAATGGGGTGAAATATGTTTTTTACAACTGCAATAAACAATTAATGTCTCAAATTCTCGCTTTGCCGTATGAGGGTGGGATCTACATGGTGATCTTCCTACCAGTATATAAAAATGGAATTGGAGAACTGGAAGCTCTACTATCTGAAATGAATCATAGTGAAATTTTCAGTCAATTGGATTACACGGCAGTGGATGTGTTTTTACCAAAATTTAAATTCGAGACGACCATGGAAATGGATGACTTGATGAAAGAGGTATGTGTGCTGGTGGTATCAGCGAGGTAAAATTGTCCATCGATTTGTGATTTTTTCTAGACTGGACTAGAAGTGATTTATGACGAAGAGAAAGCCGACTTTAGGGGGATGATCGAACTCGCAGAGGGCGAGAACTTGTGCGTAACTAAAATACTTCAAAAGGCTTGTATTGAGGTTAACGAAAAGGGGTCAGCTGTTGCTGCTCCAGGTACATGTACTAATCAACTGTTAAAAAATCGTACTAATGTTTAGTATAGTTGTAGAAGAGTATGTTCCGGTAGGCTTCCCAAAAGTAAAACGAGAATTTGTGAAGGTTATTGTGGACCATCCTGCCGTTTTTATGATTGTTGCCGGATTATTTGAAAAACCAAACGTTTTATTTTATGGACGACTGTCCCACCCTGAAGAAGTAACAAACAGTGGTATCTTGAGTGGTTTCGTGAATTTCGTGAGAAAACCCTTCAAAACTATAAACCGAATTTTCTAAATGGGCTAAAACAGATTGGGCATCTTTCAACTGCAAACTTATTAAAACCAACTAAGATTAATTGTGTGATATTCAAAGCATGTGTTGAGAACTAAAATGTTTCAAATATTTATTGTTCATAGAGTATATATTTACACGATATTTATGATATTATATACCATAGCAAATCGAACTTTTGTTACTATAATTGTAGAAATCAAAATTAAAATAAAAAAGTGTTCAGAGGAAATTTTATTGTTTATAATAGTTTTATAATTTAGAAAACTGCTATAACAGATATTTAATTTGGTGCAAAAATCTAAAACAGAAATGATTTGCTTTTTCGCGCTTACTTTGAAAATATGGTTATCCTTTTCTTATAAGAGATATATGGTATTTAATTTTCTACTTAATGCAATCAAATCAACCGTTTGCTTTAAAATGAATTGTTGAACCAGCTGTTGAGGACATGTTTTTTTCTTTGAATGTTGATTAAACCAGATCTTTTGGTTAAAGTAATCTACAAAATTGCATATTATGAACTAGTACGATAGATCAAATTTTAATCCGATTTTTTTCAATATAATTTAAACAAATCTGACAATGTCGATTCGCCACATTACAATGATCTGCATCTCAATATACAATTGAACTGTCAGTAATAAAACTAAACACAATTCCACGCAAGCGTGAATCGCTTTGAAGACTTGCTCTCTGGTGTTCAACGAAAGTATTGACTGGTTCGGTGTCATTTTTGTAAAACCCACAACACTGTCATCATAGGTACAAACAAAATTTAATGATATCTTGGGTGAGTTAAAACTGCTTTCGTAAAAATAATGAGGCAAGACTTGATGATTTACTTTAGCAGCTTCCTAAAGATGATGAGAAATTTTACCATCACAAAGAACTAGACTACCCGAGAAAAGTTTCTTCTAAACGTAGAGACTTTTTTATTTGTATTTATGTGTTGTGTATTTAACAGTTTATCCATATTTCCTTACAAAAATTTACAATTTTAAACGTGTTTTAGGTTTCTAAGAATACAAAAATTAGTACAATTGAGATCGGGTGGGTGGGCGGGCTTATATTTCCGCTTTTTTTCTTAATATACATAGTATTCTTTGTACAACACAATACTCAAAAACATGTTTTTAATTTCTTGTAAAGAAATAAGTATTTTGCAGTTAAGCTCCGCCCCCTTGGTTCACGGCGAATAAAAAATCATTACAATAGAGACAGGGCGGGTGGGCGGGCTTACATTTTGCCTTTTTGTTTTAATATGTGTAGACTTCTTTTCACAACATGAAACTTAAAACATGTTGGAAATGGAAAATTTGTATAAGGAAATGTCGATTTTGCAATTTTACCATTTTAACTATGTTCTGAGTTTCTTGGTGCGAAAAGATGGCTACGTATATTAAGAAAAAAAAGACAAAATATAAAAAAAAGCCCATGAAATCCAAAAGAGGAAGTGTGTGGGGTTAGTTTTAACTTTTCCTCTAGATTCAAATGTTTATCAATATAAAACCCCCTTTTTGTCCAATAAAATGAGTAATCAGGAGAAAAACCGGGTGGATGGGCGGGGCCATTTTGAATTTTTATAAGTGCATTTGGCCACACGACAAATTAAAATTCAATTTCCATTTAATCAAATAAGCCAAAGAAATTCACTTCTTCACTTTTCGATCCCACCGTTCTTCAATATAAAATACACTTTTCGTCCAATAAAATGAGTAACCAAAGAGAAAACCGGGTGGGTGGGCGGGGCCACTTTGACTTTTTTAAGCCTAGTTCTTCACTTGACGCAATAAAATTCGGTCTTCATCTAATCAAAAGAACCAATGAAATTCGAAAGCGAAGGTGGGTGGGATTAGTGTTGCCGTTTTTGTCTAGATTCCATAGATTATTACCAGAAAATCCTTTTTGTGTCCAACAAAATGACCAAGTAAGTTGCGGGGCCATTTTAAATTTTTTTTAAGGATACATTGGACAAAATATAATTCAATTTTCATCTCATAGTTAATACAACAAACCAATGAAATACAGATGCGCAGTTGGGTGGAGTTAATTTTAAAGACATTTTTACCTATTTTCTATTGCTTGTCATATAAAATCCACAACCAATAACTTGAGTGATTAATTTCATTGGCTCTTAATTGAAGACGAATCTCATCTCGACAAATATGATATTCTGTAACACACAAGAGTGAAATTATTTTATATGGTTTGTGGATTTTCTGGACAATGTTTTACAAATTTAATAAAACACATTTTTTGTGTTTATTTAATAAGTATAACGATTTAGTTTCTACCAGATAAAATTCCACGTTATTAATATTAAGACAGGTAATATTATTATGTTATTAACACTGTTATAATTTTGAATGCATATATCAAATTCTGTTGTATGTTGACCATTTTTTATAAACAACTCTCAACTACTGTAGTTGATCTCTATATTTTCGTCGTTTTTTAAAATCAAAAATATTTCTTCCTTCATCAACTTACCATGACCTCAAACTGTGTCCCGAAAATCTCCAAAGTTTGAATTTTTCTGCACTTTCAGTTATTAACAACTGTGTGAGGAGCATTCTTCAGTGTTAAATAACTTTTGATGGCTTCCAGTCAAGATTTTACCGAAGAAATTCTCCACGGAAATGTCACCTTCACCAATAAGATTTACCAAATCCTTGCCCGGAAACCCGGAAATGTGTTCTTTTCTCCGTTCAGCCTTCACATTATCGTCGCCATGGCGTACCAAGGATCACGAAACGTGACTCTAGAAACCATCCAAAAAGTACTTCAAATTCCTGACCCCTTAAGCACAGCGATTGGTTACCAAGAAATAACGGGCAACTTGACATCATTAAAAAACGTACTTTTACACACTGCTTTCAAAATTTACCTTCGAAAAGAATTTCAACTTTTATCGTCATTCGAAAACACGGTCAAAGAATATTTTGAGTCTGAAGTGGAAGCCTTGGATTTTGATGAAACGAGCGCAACAGTCGAACAGATAAACGAATGGGTCTCTGGAAAAACACACGGAAAAATCAAGAATATAGTGAATGACGATTTGATAGCTTCTACTTCTTTGCTTCTTCTTAACGCGATATATTTTAAAGGCAACTGGGCTGTACCTTTTTCTGAAAATAAGACTAAGGTGAGATATTTTTATCTGAACAATCGCGATGTAGTGAAAGTGCAGATGATGGAAGGTCGGAAACATGGTTTTTACAACGACAATAAACAATTAAAGTCTCAAATTCTCGCTTTGCCGTATGAGGGTAAGGAGATCTACATGGTGATCTTCTTACCAGAAGATAAAAATGGGATTGGAGAACTGGAAGCTCTCCTATCTGAAACGAATCATACTGAAATTCTCAAGCAGTTGAATCTTGTAACAGTGGACGTGTCTTTACCAAAATTTAAATTCGAGACGACCATGGAGATGGATGACTTGATAAAAGAGGTATGTTCGAGTGGTATCAGCAGGTAATTGTGCATCAATTTGTGATTTTTTTCTAGATTGGACTTGAAGTGATTTATGACGAAAATGAAGCCGATTTTAAAGGGATGATCGATCTCGAAGAGGGAGAGAATTTGTGCATAACAAAAATACTTCAAAAGGCTTGCATTGATGTTAACGAAAAAGGATCAGAAGCAGCTGCTGCTTCAGGTACATGAACTGTTTACATCTTATAGAACATGGTATTAATGTTTGGTATAGCTGTAGGGGCGATTGTTCTGTATTCTAGTAAAAGGAGGAAACAGAAAATTTTTAAATTTGTTGTGGACCATCCTGCCGTTTTTATGATTGTTGCCGGATTGTTTGAAAATCCAAACGTTTTATTTTATGGAAGACTCTCCCACCCTGAAGAAGTAACAAGTAGTGATATTTTGAGTGATTTGGGAAATTTCATGAGAAACCCCATAATAACCATAAACCGACTTTTCTAAATGTGCTAAAACATCCCCGCGCTAGATTGGGCATCGTTTCAACTGCAAAGTTATTAAAACGAACTAAGATCAACTTTGTTTTTTTGTTCAAATCAATACAAGCTATGTATTTTTATAAAATATTGTTTCTTATTATTTAAGTAACCTACTCTCACTTCTTATGTCCTCATGATATTTTCTAAATTAAAAAATTAAAAAACCAAATTTTCCAGTATAATAGAAATTTATACATAATACATTTATATAAAATTTATTATAACGTATTTTATATACCACATTGATGTAGTAAATCGTATTAAACTTATTATAATTGCAGAAATGAAAATTAAGATAAAAGAGTATTCAACAAAAAATAGCAAAAATTATAATAATAATTAACAAAAACAAGACCAATTCATAAAGCACAAGTACAGGAACACTTTATTTTATAAAATTGATGAGTTGGAGGGATGATTAAGGCAAATTTTGGTAAGCATTTCACAATCTACACTCTACTTTAGGAGACTCATCTGGATCTGCAAATAAATTAATTAATAAAAAATAACTGTATTTTTGTTGTAACAAGAAACTGGATTAGGTCGCTCCAACTGAAAAATTGACAAGTTAAATGAGTTTAAATTTAGTGCCAATTAGTTATTTCCGTAAAGTGGAAGATTTAAGATGATTACTTCAAAAAAGTTTCTTGTTGTCGAAAAAAGTCTATACATATTAAGAAACAAAGGCAAAATGTTACCCCGCCCACCCACCCTATCTCAATTGTGATGATTTTTTTTATTCGTTGTGATCCAAGAGGGCGAAGCTTAACTGCAAAATCATTAGTTCTCTGCGAGAAACTAAAAACTTGTTTTTGGATATCAGATCGAGGGGCGGGGCTTAATTGCAAGATCCATATTTGTCTACAAGGATTTCGAAATTAAATTCCGCTCCGTTGGTTCTCGACGATTAAAAAAAATGGTCACAATTGAGACAGGGTGGGTGGGCGAGGCTTATATTTTGCCATTTTTCTTAATATACACAGTCGTCTTAAAACATTTAAAATGGAAAATTTATATAAGGAAATATCGATTTTGCAATTAGGCTCTGCCCGTCAAATACAAAATTCATATTTCCTTGCAAAAATGTACCATTTTAACCATGTTTTTTTCTTGTTGTCTCTATTGGAGCATTGGTCTGTTAGACGATAAACTATTATTATTACTATTGTTATTTTTAAAAATTCTCATCAGGCGTTACGCACAGGTATGCTTATTATAGATAATTTAATGAACCATCTTTTACAAAACGTTGAACCAAATTTGAAACAAAAATTTGCTCGTTGTTTTGGCAACTTTTACCTTCACAAATGTATTTGCTTGTGGAAGAAATATATAATTCGTTCCCCAACTATCAGGTATCAATTATTGTTTTCCGAAACTTTTTTCTAGAAATCATTGCGGTAAAAATGTTTTGGTGACGTTATAAACAGATGTCAGCACTATGTAAAAAATGCCAATTTTCGAGTGTAGAATATTTATAGGTCGCAATAAAAAATAGTCTACCAAGAACTATATTTAGTTGCGAAATACACAGCAGTTGTAATTTTGGAGAAATTTATTTTTAAATTGAAGTCGGTAGCGGCGAGTACGTGTGCAGAATATTTATAATTTCGACTAACAACACCAGTGCTAAATCTGATCTTCTGTGTAAAATCATTTTAGATGTCTTCTGATCAAAATCCTGTCCAAGAAATTCTCCAAGGTAACGTCGCCTTCACCAACAAAATTTACCAAATCCTTTCCCGGAAAGCCGGAAATGTTTTCTTTTCGCCGTTCAGTCTCCACGTTATTCTCGCCATGGCCTACCAAGCAACAGGAACCGAGACACTAGAAAGAATCCAAAAAGTGCTCCAAATTCCTGACCCTTTAAACACGGCCATTGGTTACAAAAAAATAATCCGCAACTTGACATCCTTAAAAAATGGGTTCTTACATACGGCATTCAAGATCTACCTCGACAAAGAAAAACAACTCTTGTCGTCATTTGCGAGTACCGTTAAAGAGTACTTTGACTCTGAAGTCGAACTCGCCGATTTTAAAAAACCAACGGAAACCGCAAAAAAGGTAAACGAATGGGTCGCCGAAAAAACACACGGAAAAATCAGACAGATCGTCACCGAAGAATCCGTTATGTCTTCCTGTCTGTTTCTTCTTAACGCGCTCTATTTTAAAGGCGACTGGGATTCACCCTTTTCTGAAAATAAAACTCGAGAGATGCCTTTTTATTTGAATGATGAGAGCGTGGTGCAAGTGCAGATGATGACGGGTAGAAAAAACGCTTCCTACAAGTTCGACGAACAACTGAATTGTCAAATTCTGGTTTTGCCCTACTGTGATAACGGGATCAAGATGGTTATTTTACTACCAAAGGAAAAAAGTGGGATTGGACACCTGGAAGCTGCGTTGAGTCAGATGAATCTTAGTGAAATCTTCACTAACTTGCGTCGAAGAGAAGTGGACGTGTCTTTACCAAAGTTTAAATCCGAGACGTCCATCGAGTTGAACGATGTTGTAAAAGAGGTATGTATTGGTAGGGTCGATGTGGTGGTTGTGTATAAACTGGTGACTTTTCTAGATGGGGCTTGCCGTGATGTACGACGAAGTGAACGCCGATTTTAAAAAGATGATAAGATTAGATGCCGGACAAAATTTATACGTTAGTAAAATACTGCAAAAGGCTTGTATTGAGGTTAACGAAAAGGGGGCAGAAGCGGCCGCGGTTACAGGTATGTGTTCTGATCATGCTCGAATACAAGATCGTGCTAATGTTTGAAGTTTAGTTATAGAAATGCAAGTCGAAGTATGCTGTACGGACGTGGTAAAGTCAAATTATAAGTTCGTTGTGGATCATCCTGCGATTTTCATGATTGTTGCCGGAAAGCCTAAAAACACAAACATTTTGTTTTATGGAAGGTTGTACCACCCAAAGTACTAATTAAGACGAAATGCACCGCAGTGAAGCAAACTGATTTGATTCGTATGTACTAAATGGTCTCAAGTTAAAGATCAACTACATGTCGTTTTTGGTTATTTTGATACGTAAAATTGTAGCAAACAGACACTCTTGTTTTATAAAAAAATATATAATTGAATTAATTTTAAATAAATTGGTACGAGACATCTGTTTCTTAAACTAAATTCTCATTTCGATTTTTGTATGTCACCGTAATAGCATTCACATGAAGAATAGTTAATTTAATGGTACTAGTCGCCAATTAACAAAAATTGTTTGTTTTTAATCAAAATGTCACTATACAACTGGACTGCCAGCAATAAAACAAGACAATTCCACGCAAGCGTGAATCGCTTGGAAGACTTGCTCTCTGATATTTGGGGAAAGTATTGATTGGTCCACTATAATTTTTATATAACGCACAACTCTGTCATCGTAGGTACAAAAAAATCTAGGGATTTCTGAGGTGAGTTACTCGTAACGCTGCTTTCGTAAAGATAATGAAGCATCACATCATAATTCAGCAGCTTTCTAAAGATGATGAAAAGTTTTATGACCAAAAAGAACTGTCTGTAGAAAAGCCGAGAAAAGCTTCTTCCAAACGTAGCGTAGGCTGAAAATGATACGGACTTTTTATTTCGATTTAGGGTTGACAAATCAGAATTACTTAAGTACACAGTGTTAATTTCGTTAACAACGCAACTAATTCCTCCGTGAATTTAATTTGTTTTAAATTCATCAACTCCATGTGTCCCGTAAATTTCCAAAGTTAGTTAGTTTGAATTGCTCTGCAATTGCAGCTATTAACAACAGTGCGAGGAGCATTCTTCAGTGTTAAATGATTTTTGATGGCTTCCAGTGAAGATTTTACCAAAGAAATTCTCCAAGGAAATGCCGCCTTCACCAACAAGATTTACAAAATCCTTTCCCGGACACCCGGAAATGTGTTCTTTTCTCCGTTCAGTCTTCACATTGTCATCGCCATGGCGTACCAAGGATCCAGAAACGAGACACTAGAAACCATCCAAAAAGTACTTCAAATTCCTGACCCCTTAAACACAGCCATTGGTTACCAAGAAATAACGCGCAACTTGACATCATTAAAAAACGTCCTTTTACACACTGCTTTCAAAATTTACCTTCGAAAAGAATTTAAACTTTTATCCTCATTCGAAAACACGGTCAAAAAATATTTTGACTCGGAAGTGGAATCCCTGGATTTTGATCAAACGAGCGCAACGGTCAAAAAAATAAACGAATGGGTCTCTGAAAAAACACACGGAAAAATCGAGGATATCGTGGATGACGATTTGATAGCTTCTACTTCTTTGCTTCTTCTTAACGCGATATATTTTAAAGGCAGCTGGGATATACCTTTTTCTGAACGTAAGACTAAGGTGAGAAATTTTTATCTGAACGAACAGGATGTGGTGAAAGTGCAAATGATGGATGGTCGGAAATATGTTTTTTACAAGTACAATAAACAATTAAAGTCTCAAATTCTCGCTTTGCCATATGAGGGTGAGGAGATCTACATGGTGATCTTCCTACCAGTATATAAAAATGGAATTGGAGAACTGGAAGCTCTACTGTCTGAAATGAATCATAGTGAAATTTTCAGTCGATTGGATTATACGGCAGTGGATGTGTTTTTACCAAAATTTAAATTCGAGACGACCATGGAAATGGATGACTTGATGAAAGAGGTATGTGTGCTGATGGTATCAGCGAGGTAAAATTGTCCATCAGTTTGTGATTTTTTCTAGATTGGACTTGAAGTGATTTATGACGAAGACAAAGCCGACTTTAGAGGGACGATCGAACTCGAGGAGGGGGAGAATTTGTGTGTAACTAAAATACTTCAAAAAGCTTGTATTGAGGTTAACGAAAAGGGGTCAGAAGCTGTTGCTGCTTCAGGTACATGTACTAATCAACTGCTAAAAGATCGTACTAATGTTTAGTATAGTTGTAGGAGAGAGTGTTCTGGTAAGCAACCCACCAATAAAACGAGAAATTTTGAAGTTTATTGTGGACCATCCTGCGGTTTTTATGATTGTTGCCGGATTGTTTGAAAAACCAAACGTTTTATTTTATGGAAGACTGGCCCACCCTGAAGAAGCAGTAAGGAGGGATGTCTTGAGTAATTTCGTGAATTTCATGAGAAAACCCTTCAAAACTATAAACCGAATTTTCTAAATGTGCTAAAACATCCACTCAACTGCAAACCAACTAAGATTAATTTTGTTTCTTTGCTGAAATCTAAAACAGGCTGTGTATATTTAAAGATAATGTGATATTCAAAGCATGTGTTGAGAATTAAAATGTTTCAAATATTTATTGTTCATATAGTATATATTTACACGATATTTATGATATTATATACCATATTCGTGTAGCAAATCGTACTTTTGTTACTATAATTGTAGAAATGAAAATTAAAATAAAAAAGTGTTCAGAGGTAATTTTATTGTGTACAATCGTTTTATAATTTACAAAACTGTTATAACAGTTGTCTAATTTGGTGCAAAAATATAAAACAGAAATGATATGCTTTTTCGCGCTTACCTCGAAAATATAGTTATCCTTCTCTTATAAGAGATACAAGGTATTTAATTTTCTAGCAATTGTTGAACCAGCTGTTCAGGAGATGTTTCTTTCTTTGAATGTTGATTCAAGTATATCTTTTTGTTAAAGTAATCTGCAAAAATGAATATTATGAACTGGTAGATCAAATTTTAAACCAATTTTTTCACAATATAGTTTGAACAAATCTGACAATGTTGATTCGTCACATTACAAAGATCTGCATCTCAATCTACAACTGAACTGTCAGTAATAAAAGTAAACGCAATTCCACGCAAGCGTGAATCGCTTCGAAGACTTGCTCTCTAGTGTTTAATGAAAGTATTGACTGGTTCGGTGTCATTTTTGTAAAACCCACAACACTGTCATCGTAGGTATAAACAAAATTTAATAATATCTTGGGTGAGTTAAAACTGCTTTCGTAAAAATAATGAGGCAAGACTTGATTATTTACTTTAGCAGCTTCCTAAAGATGATGAGAAATTTTACCACCAAAAAGAACTCTGTATAGACTACCCGAGAAAAGTTTCTTCTAAACGTAGAGACTTTTTTTTTATTTGTATTTATGTGTTGTGTATTTAACAGTTTAGATATTTTTTTTAATGTTTGACAGTATCGTTCTGCTTGACCATTTGTGGCTGGATGTAGAAGAATTTTTAACCATAATAACTTCTGGCCATGTGGATGTGGCATCAACAAGAATTAGAAAATGATGGTTGTAAATAATATAATAATATATAGAATAATTATAATATTACCATGTAAGACATGTTTTTGAGTATCGGGTTACTCAAGATATACCGATGTATATTAAGAAAAAATTAAAGCCAAATATTAAGCCCCGCACATACCTGCCCTGATCTAAATAGTAATGAAGCTTTTTCATTCGTTGGCAGAGCTAGGGGCGAAGCCTAATTGCAAAATTAATATTTCCTTACAAAAATTTACAATTTTAAACGTGTTTTAAGTTTCTAAGAATAAAAAAATTAGTACATTTGAGATCGGGTGGGTGGGCGGGTTTATATTTCCGCTTTTTTTCTTAAACATTGTATTCTTTGAACAACACAATACTCAAAAACATGTTTTTAATTTCTTGTAAAGAAATAAGTATTTTGCAGTTAAGCTCCGCCCCCTTGGTTCACGGCGAATAAAAAATCATTACAATAGAGACAGGGCGGGTGGGCGGGCTTACATTTTGCCTTTTTGTTTTAATATGTGTAGACTTCTTTTCACAACATGAAACTTAAAACATGTTGGAAATGGAAAATTTGTATAAGGAAATGTCGATTTTGCAATTTCACCATTTTAACTATGTTCTGAGTTTCTTGGTGCGAAAAGATGGCTACGTATATTAAGAAAAAAAAGACAAAATATAAAAAAAAAGCCCATGAAATCCAAAAGAGGAAGTGTGTGGGGTTAGTTTTAACTTTTCCTCTAGATTCAAATGTTTATCAATATAAAACCCCCTTTTTGTCCAATAAAATGAGTAATCAGGAGAAAAACCGGGTGGGTGGGCGGGGCCATCTTGAATTTTTATAAGTAGATTCGACTACACGACAAATTAAAATTCAATTTCCATCCAATAAAATGAGTAACCAAAAAGAAAACCGGGTGGGTGGGCGGGGCCACTTTGATTTTTTTAAGCCTAGTTCGTCATTTGACGCAGTAAAATTCGGTCTTCATCTAATCAAAAGAACCAGTGAAATTCGAAAGCGAAGGTGGGTGGGATTAGTTTTGCCGTTTTTGCCTAGATTCCATAGATTATTACCAGAAAATCCTCTTTGTGTCCAACAAAATGACCAAGTAGGTTGCAGGGCCATTTTTAATTTTTTTTTAAGGATACATTGGACAAAATATAATTCAATTTTCATCTCATAGTTAAAACAACAAACCAATGAAATACAGATGCGCAGTTGGGTGGAGTTAATTTTAAATACATTTTTACCTATTTTCTATTGCTTGTGATATAAAATCCACAACCAATAACTTGAGTGATTAATTTCATTGGCTCTTAATTGAAGACGAATCTCATCTCGACAAATATGATATTCTGTAACACACAAGAGTGAAATTATTTTATATGGTTTGTGGATTTTCTGGACAATGTTTTACAAATTTAATAAAACACATTTTTTGTGTTTATTTAATAAGTATAACGATTTAGTTTCTACCAGATAAAATTCCACGTTATTAATATTAAGACAGGTAATATTATTATGTTATTAACACTGTTATAATTTTGAATGCATATATCAAATTCTGTTGTATGTTGACCATTTTTTATAAACAACTCTCAACTACTGTAGTTGATCTCTATATTTTCGTCGTTTTTTAAAATCAAAAATATTTCTTCCTTCATCAACTTACCATGACCTCAAACTGTGTCCCGAAAATCTCCAAAGTTTGAATTTTTCTGCACTTTCAGCTATTAACAACAGTATGAGGAGCATTCTTCAGTGTTAAATGACTTTTGATGGCTACCAGTCAAGATTTTACCGAGGAAATTCTCCACGGAAATGCCGCCTTCACCAACAAGATTTACCAAATCCTTGCCCGGAAACCCGGAAATGTGTTCTTTTCTCCGTTCAGTCTTCACATTATCATCGCTATGGCGTACCAAGGATCACGAAACGTGACTTTAGAAACCATCCAAAAAGTACTTCAAATTCCTGACCCCTTAAGCACAGCCATTGGTTACCAAGAAATAACGCGCAACTTGACATCATTAAAAAACGTACTTTTACACACTGCTTTCAAAATTTACCTTCGAAAAGAATTTCAACTTTTATCCTCATTCGAAAACACGGTCAAAGAATATTTTGACTCTGAAGTGGAATCCTTGGATTTTGATGAAACGAGCGCAACAGTCGAACAGATAAACGAATGGGTCTCTGAAAAGACACACGGAAAAATCAAGAATATAGTGAATGACGATTTGATAGCTTCAACCTCTTTGCTTCTTCTTAACGCGATATATTTTAAAGGCAACTGGGCTGTACCTTTTTCTGAAAATAAGACTAAGGTGAGATATTTTTATCTGAACAATCGCGATGTGGTGAAAGTGCAGATGATGGAAGGTCGGAAACATGGTTTTTACAACGACAATAAACAATTAAAGTCTCAAATTCTCGCTTTGCCGTATGAGGGTAAGGAGATCTACATGGTGATCTTCTTACCAGAAGATAAAAATGGGATTGGAGAACTGGAAGCTCTACTATCTGAAACGAATCATACTGAAATTTTCAAGCAGTTGAATGTTGTAACAGTGGATGTGTCTTTACCAAAATTTAAATTCGAGACGTCCATGGAGATGGACGACGTGATACAAGAGGTACGTTCTGGTGGTATCAGCGAGGTAATTGTGCATCAACTGGTGATTTTTTCTAGATTGGACTTGAAGTGATTTATGACGAAAATGAAGCCGATTTTAAAGGGATGATCGATCTCGAAGAGGGAGAGAATTTGTGCATAACAAAAATACTTCAAAAGGCTTGTATTGATGTTAACGAAAAAGGATCAGAAGCAGCTGCCGCTTCAGGTACATGAACTGTTAATGTCTAATGGAACATGGTACTAATGTTTGGTATAGTTGTAGGGGCGATTGTTCTGTATTCTAGCAAAAGAAGTAAACCGAAAATTTTTAAATTTGTTGTGGACCATCCTGCCGTTTTTATGATTGTTGCCGGATTGTTTCAAAATCCAAACGTTTTATTTCGTGGAAGACTGTCCCACCCTGAAGAAGTAGCAAGTAGTGATATTTTGAGTGATTTGGGAAATTTCATGAGAAACCCCTTAATAACCATAAACCGAATTTTCTAAATGTGCTAAAACATCCCCTCGCTAGATTGGGCATCCTTTCAGATGCAAACTTAATAAAACGAACTAAGATCAACTTTGTTTCTTTGTTCAAATCAATACAAGCTATGTATTTTTATAAAATATTGTTTCTTATTATTTAGGTAACCTACTCTCACTTCTTACGTCCTCATGATATTTTCTAAATTAAAAAATTAAAAAACCAAATTTTCCAGTATAATAGAAATTTACACTTTATACATTTATAAAAAATTTATTATAACGTATTTTATATACCACATTGATGTAGTAAATCGTATTAAACTTATTATAATTGCAGAAATGAAAATTAGGATAAAAGAATATTCAACAAAAAATAACAAAAATTATAATAATAATTAACAAAAACAAGACCAATTCATAAAGCACAAGTACAGGAACACTTTATTTTATAAAATTGATGAGTTGGAGGGATGATTAGGTAAATTTTGGTAAGCATTTCACAATCTACACTCTACTTTCGGAGACTCATCTGGATCTGCAAATAAACTAATTCATAAAAAATAACTGTATTTTTGTTGTAACAAGAAATTGGAATAGGTCACACCAACTGAAAAATTGACAAGTTAAATGGATTTAAATTTAGTGCAAATTAGTTATTTTCGTAAAGTGGAAGATTTAAGATGATTACTTCAAAAATGTACCATTTTAAAAAAGTTTCTTGTTGTCGAAAAAATGTTACCCCGCCCACCCACCCTATCTCAATTGTGATGACTTTTTTTATTCGTTGTGATCAGATCGAGGGGCGGGGCTTAATTGCAAGGTCTATATTTGTCTACAAGGATTTCGAAATTAAATTCCGCTCCGTTGGTTCTCGACGATTAAAAAAAATCGTCACTATTGAGACAGGGTGGGTGGGCGGGGCTTATATTTTGCCATTTTTCTTAATATACATAGTCGTCTTAAAACATTTATATAAGGAAATATCGATTTTGCAATTAGGCTCTGCCCGATAAATACAAAATCCATATTTCCTTGCAAAAATGTACCATTTTAACCATGTTTTTTTCTTGTTGTCTCTATTGGAGCATTGTTCTGTTAGACGATAAACTATTATTATTACTATTGTTATTATTAAAAATTCTCATCAGGCGTTACGCACAGGTATGCTTATTATAGATAATTTAATGAACCATCTTTTACAAAACGTTGAACCAAAGTTGAAACATAAATTTGCTCTTTGTTTTGGCAACTTTTACTTTCACAAATATATTTGCTTGTGGAAGAAATAATTCGTTTCCCAATTATCAGGTATCAATTATTGTTTTCCGAAACTTTTTTCTAGGAATCATTGCCGTAAAAATGTTTTGGTGATGTTATAGACAGATGTCAGCACTATGTAAAAAATGCCAATTTTCGAGTGTAGAATATTTTTAGGTCGCAATAAAAAATAGTCTGCCAAGAGCTATATTTAGTTGCGAAATACACAGAAGTTGTAATTTTGGAGAAATTTATTTTTAAATTGAAGTCGGTAGCGGCTAGTGCGTGTGCAGAATTCTTATAATTTCGACTATCGACACCAGTGCTAAAACTGGTCTTCCGTGTAAAATCATTTTAAATGTCTTCTGATCAAAATCATGTCCAAGAAATTATCCAAGGTAACGTCGCCTTCACCAACAAACTTTACCAAATCCTTTCCCGGAAACCCGGAAATGTTTTCTTTTCGCCGTTCAGTCTCTACGTTATTCTCGCCATGGCCTATCAAGCAACAGGAACCGAGACACTAGAAAGTATCCAAAAAGTGCTCGAAATTCCTGACCCTTTAAATACGGCCATTGGTTACAAACAAATAATCCGCAACCTGACATCGTTAAAAAATGGGTTCTTACATACAGCATTCAAGATCTACCTCGACAAAGAAAAACAACTCTTGCCGTCATTTGCAAGTACCGTTAAAGAGTACTTTGACTCAGAAGTCGAACTCGCCGATTTTAAAAAACCAACGGAAACCGCAAAAACGGTAAACGAATGGGTAGCCGAAAAAACACACGGAAAAATCAGACAGATCGTCACCGAAAGATCCGTTGAGTCTTCTTGTCTGTTTCTTCTTAACGCGCTCTATTTTAAAGGCGACTGGGATTCACCCTTTTCTGAAAATAAAACTCGAGAGATGCCTTTTTATTTGAATGACGAGAGCGTGGTGCAAGTGCAGATGATGACGGGTATAAAAAACGCTTCCTACAAGTTCGACGAACAACTGAATTGTCAAATTTTGGTTTTGCCTTACTGTGATAACGGGATCAAGATGGCTATCATACTACCAGAGGAGAAAAATGGGATTGGAAACCTGGAAGCTGCGTTGAGTCAGATGAATCTTAGCGAAATCTTCACTAACTTGCGTCGAAGAAAAGTGGACGTGTCTTTACCGAAGTTTAAATTCGAGACGTCCATCGAGTTGAACGATGTTGTAAAAGAGGTATGTCTTGGTAGGGTCGATGTGGTGGTTGTGTATAAACTGGTGACTTTTCTAGATGGGGCTTGCCGTGATGTACGACGAAGTGAACGCCGATTTTAAGAAGATGATAAGATTAGGCGTCGGACAAAACGTATACGTTAGTAAAATACTGCAAAAGGCTTGTATTGAGGTTAACGAAAAGGGGGCAGAAGCGGCCGCGGTTACAGGTATGTGTTCTGATCATACTCGAATACAAGATCGTGCTAATGTTTGAAGTTTAGTTATAGAAATGCAAGTCGAAGTATGCTGTACGGACGTGGTAAAGTCAAATTATAAGTTCGTTGTGGATCATCCTGCGATTTTCATGATTGTTGCCGGAAAGCCTAAAAACACAAACATTTTGTTTTATGGAAGGTTGTACCACCCAAAGTACTAATTAAGAAGAAATGCAACGCAGTGAAGCAAACTGATTTGATTCGTATGTACTAAATGGTCTCAAGTTAAAGATCAACTACATGTCGTTTTTGGTTATTTTGATACGTAAAATTGAAGCAAACAGACACTCTTGTTTTATAAAAAAATATATAATTGGATTTATTTTAAATAAATTGGTACGAGACATCTTTTTCTTAAACTAAATTCTTATATCGATTTTTGTATGTTACCGTAATAGCATTCACATGAAGAATAGTTAATTTATTGGTCATAATCACCAATTAACAACGTTATAATTTGGATTCGCAACTTCAAAAATTGTTTGTTTTTAATCAAAATGTCACTATACAACTGGACTGCCAGCAATAAAACAAGACAATTCCACGCAAGCGTGAATCGCTTGGAAGACTTGCTCTCTGATATTTGGGGAAAGTATTGATTGGTCCACTATAATTTTTATATAACGCACAACTCTGTCATCGTAGGTACAAAAAAATCGAGGGATTTCTGAGGTGAGTTACTCGTAACGCTGCTTTCGTAAAGATAATGAAGCATCACATCATAATTCAGCAGCTTTCTAAAGACGATGAAAAGTTTTACCACCAAAAAGCGCTGTCTGTAGAAAAGTCGAGAAAAGCTTCTTCTAAACGTAGCGTAGGCTGAATATCATACAGACTTTTTTATTTAACGAATCAGAATTACTTAGGTACACAATGTTAATTTCGTTAACAACGCAACTAATTGTGGATTTAATTTGTTTTAAATTCATCAACTCAATGTGTCCCGCAAATTTCCAAACTTGGTTAGTTTGAATTGTTCTGCAATTGCAGCTATTAATAACAGCGTGAGGAGCATTCTTCAGTGTTAAATAACTTTTGATGGCTTCCAGTCAAGATTTTACCAATGAAATTCTCCAGGGAAATGCAGGCCTTCACCAACAAGGTTTACCAAATCCTTTCCCGGCCACCCGGAAATGTGTTCTTTTCTCCATTCAGTCTTCACATTGTCATCGCCATGGCGTACCAAGGAGCCAGAAACGAGACACTAAAAACCATCCAAAAAGTACTTCAAATTCCTGACCCCTTAAGCACAGCCATTGGTTACCAAGAAATAACGCGCAACTTGACATCATTAAAAAACGTCCTTTTACACACTGATTTCAAAATTTACCTTCGAAAAGAATTTAAACTTTTATCCTCATTCGAAAACACGGTCAAAAAATATTTTGACTCGGAAGTGGAATCCCTGGATTTTGATCAAACGAGCGCAACGGTCAAAAAAATAAACGAATGGGTCTCTGAAAAAACACACGGAAAAATCGAGGATATCGTGGATGACGATTTGATAGCTTCTACTTCTTTGCTTCTTCTTAACGCGATATATTTTAAAGGCAGCTGGGATATACCTTTTTCTGAACGTAAGACTAAGGTGAGAAATTTTTATCTGAACGAACAGGATGTGGTGAAAGTGCAAATGATGGATGGTCGGAAATATGTTTTTTACAACGACAATAAACAATTAAAGTCTCAAATTCTCGCTTTGCCGTATGAGGGTAAGGAGATCTACATGGTGATCTTCCTACCAGTATATAAAAATGGAATTGGGGAAATGGAAGCTCTACTGTCTGAAATGAATCATAGTGAAATTTTCAGTCGATTGGATTATACGGCAGTGGATGTGTTTTTACCAAAATTTAAATTCGAGACGACCATGGAAATGGATGACTTGATAAAAGAGGTATGTTCGAGTGGTATCAGCGAGGTAATTGTGCATCAATTTGTGATTTTTTCTAGATTGGACTTGAAGTGATTTATGATCCAGTCAAAGCCGACTTTAGGGAAACGATCGAACTCGAGGAGGGGGAGAATTTGTGTGTAACTAAAATACTTCAAAAAGCTTGTATTGAGGTTAACGAAAAGGGGTCAGAAGCTGTTGCTGCTTCAGGTACATGTACTAATCAACTGCTAAAAGATCGTACTAATGTTTAGTATAGTTGTAGGAGAGAGTGTTCTGGTAAGCAACCCACCAATAAAACGAGAAATTTTGAAGTTTATTGTGGACCATCCTGCGGTTTTTATGATTGTTGCCGGATTGTTTGAAAAACCAAACGTTTTATTTTATGGAAGACTGGCCCACCCTGAAGAAGCAGTAAGGAGGGATGTCTTGAGTAATTTCGTGAATTTCATGAGAAAACCCTTCAAAACTATAAACCGAATTTTCTAAATGTGCTAAAACATCCACTCAACGGCAAACCAACTAAGATTAATTTTGTTTCTTTGCTGAAATCTAAAACAGGCTGTGTATATTTAAAGATAATGTGATATTCAAAGCATGTGTTGAGAATTAAAATGTTTCAAATATTTATTGTTCATATAGTATATATTTACACGATATTTATGATATTATATACCATATTCGTGTAGCAAATCGTACTTTTGTTACTATAATTGTAGAAATGAAAATTAAAATAAAAAAGTGTTCAGAGGTAATTTTATTGTGTATAATCGTTTTATAATCTACAAAACTGTTATAACAGGTGTCTAATTTGGTGCAAAAATATAAAACAGAAATGATATGCTTTTTCGCGCTTACGTCGAAAATATGGTTATCCTTCTCTCATAAGAGATACAAGGTATTTAAATTTCTAGCAACTGTTTACTTTGAAGGGAATTGTTGAACCAGCTGTTGAGGAGATGTTTCTTTCTTTGAATGTTGATTCAAGTATATCTTTTTGTTAAAGTAATCTGCAAAAATGAATATTATGAACTGGTAGATCAAATTTTAATCCAATTTTTTCACAATATAGATTGAACAAATCTGACAATGTTGATTCGTCACATTACAAAGATCTGCATCTCAATCTACAACTGAACTGTCACTAATAAAACTAAACGCAATTCCACGCAAGCGTGAATCGCTTCGAAGACTTGCTCTCTGGTATTTAACGAAAGTATTGACTGGTTCGTAACTTTTGTATAACCCACAACACTGTTATAATTGGTACAAACAAAATTTAATGATATCTTGGGTGAGTTAAAACTACTTTCGTAAAAATAATGAGGCAAGACTTCTTAAAGGTAATGAGGAATTTTACCATCAAAAAGAACTTTGTGTAGACAACCCGGGAAAATTTTCTTCTAAACGTAGAGACTTTTATTTTTGTATTTATGTGTTGCATATTTAACAGTTTAGATATTTTTTTTAATGTTTGACAGTATCGTTCTGCTTGACCATTCTTGGCTGGATGTCCTGGTGCAATCATCCGTTGTTTAATACCATTCCGTTGACAAAATACTCTAAATTTATTGGATTTGAAGATAGTTGCATTGTCACTAACTAATATTTCTGGTAATCCAAGATTTGTCGTAAATGATATATGGTGCTCGCTGATGTAGGAGAATTTTTAACCATAATTACTTCTGGCTATTTGGATTTGGCATCAACAAGAATTAGAAAATGATGGTTGTAAATAATATAATAATATATATAATTATACTGATATTACCATGTAAGACATGTTTTTGAGTATCGGGTTACTCAAGGAATGCCGATGTATATTAAGAAAAAATTAAAGCCAAAGGTTAAGCCCCACACATACCTGCCCTGATCTAAATAGTAATGAAGCTTTTTCATTCGTTGGCAGAGCTAGGGGCGAAGCCTAATTGCAAAATCCATATTTCCTTACAAACATTTACAATTTTAAACGTGTTTTAAGTTTCTAAGAATAAAAAAATTAGTACATTTGAGATCGGGTGGGTGGGCGGGTTTATATTTCCGCTTTTTTGGAAATGTCGATTTTGCAATTTTACCATTTTAACTATGTTCTGAGTTTCTTGGTGCGAAAAGATGGCTACGTATATTAAGAAAAAAAAGACAAAATATAAAAAAAAGCCCATGAAAACCAAAAGCGGAAGTGTGTGGGGTTAGTTTTAAGTTTTCCTCTAGATTCCAATGTTTATCAAAATAAAACCCCCTTTTTGTCCAATAAAATGAGTAATCAGGAGAAAAACCGGGTGGATGGGCGGGGTCATTTTGAATTTTTATAAGTGCATTTGGCCACACGACAAATTAAAATTCAATTTCCATTTAATCAAATAAGCCAAAGAAATTCACTTCTTCACTTTTAGATCCCACCGTTCTTCAATATAAAATACACTTTTCGTCCAATAAAATGAGTAACCAAAAAGAAAACCGGGTGGGTGGGCGGGGCCACTTTGACTTTTTTAAGCCTAGTTCTTCACTTGACGCAATAAAATTCGGTCTTCATCTAATCAAAAGAACCAATGAAATTCGAAAGCGAAGGTGGGTGGGATTAGTGTTGCCGTTTTTGTCTAGATTCCATAGATTATTACCAGAAAATCCTCTTTGTGTCCAACAAAATGACCGAGTAAGTTGCAGGGCCATTTTTAATTTTTTTTAAGGATACATTGGACAAAATATAATTAAATTTTCATCTCATAGTTAATACAACAAACCAATGAAATACAGATGCGCAGTTGGGTGGAGTTAATTTTAAAGACGTTTTTATCTATTTTCTGTTGCTTATTATATAAAATCCACAACCAATAACTTGAGTGATTAATTTCATTGGCTCTTAATTGAAGACGAATCTCATCTCGACAAACTAGATATTCTGTAACACACAAGAGTGAAATTATTTTATATGGTTAGTGGATTTTCTGGACAATGTTTTACAAATTTAATAAAAAACATTTTTTGTGTTTATTTAATAACTATAACGATTTAGTTTCTACCAGATAAAATTCCACTTTATTAATATTAAGACAGGTAATATTATTATGTTATTAACATTGTTATAATTTTGAATGCATATATCAAATTCAGTTGTATATTGACCATTTTTTATAAACAACTCTCAACTACTGTAGTTGATCTCTATATTTTCGTCGTTTTTTAAAATCAAAAATATTTCTTCCTTCATCAACTTACCATGACCTTAAACTGTCTCCCGAAAATCTCCAAACTTTGAATTTTTCTGCACTTTCAGCTATTAACAACAGTATGAGGAGCATTCTTCAGTGTTAAATGACTTTTGATGGCTACCAGTCAAGATTTTACCGAAGAAATTCTCCACGGAAATGCCGCCTTCACCAACAAGATTTACCAAATCCTTGCCCGGAAACCCGGAAATGTGTTCTTTTCTCCGTTCAGTCTTCACATTATCATCGCTATGGCGTACCAAGGATCACGAAACGTGACTTTAGAAACCATCCAAAAAGTACTTCAAATTCCTGACCCCTTAAGCACAGCCATTGGTTACCAAGAAATAACGCGGAACTTGACATCATTAAGAAATGTACTTCTACACACTGCTTTCAAAATTTACCTTCGAAAAGAATTTCAACTTTTATCCTCATTCGAAAACACGGTCAAAGAATATTTTGACTCTGAAGTGGAATCCTTGGATTTTGATGAAACGAGCGCAACAGTCGAACAGATAAACGAATGGGTCTCTGAAAAAACACACGGAAAAATCAAGAATATAGTGAATGACGATTTGATAGCTTCAACCTCTTTGCTTCTTCTTAACGCGATATATTTTAAAGGCAACTGGGCTGTACCTTTTTCTGAAAATAAGACTAAAGTGAGATATTTTTATCTGAACAATCGCGATGTGGTGAAAGTGCAGATGATGGAAGGTCGGAAACATGGTTTTTACAACGACAATAAACAATTAAAGTCTCAAATTCTCGCTTTGCCGTATGAGGGTAAGGAGATCTACATGGTGATCTTCTTACCAGAAGATAAAAATGGGATTGGAGAACTGGAAGCTCTACTATCTGAAACGAATCATACTGAAATTTTCAAGCAGTTGAATGTTGTAACAGTGGATGTGTCTTTACCAAAATTTAAATTCGAGACGTCCATGGAGATGGACGACGTGATACAAGAGGTACGTTCTGGTGGTATCAGCGAGGTAATTGTGCATCAACTGGTGATTTTTTCTAGATTGGACTTGAAGTGATTTATGACGAAAATGAAGCCGATTTTAAAGGGATGATCGATCTCGAAGAGGGAGAGAATTTGTGCATAACAAAAATACTTCAAAAGGCTTGCATTGATGTTAACGAAAAAGGATCAGAAGCAGCTGCTGCTTCAGGTACATGAACTGTTTACATCTTATTGAACATGGTATTAATGTTTGGTATAGCTGTAGGGGCGATTGTTCTGTATTCTAGTAAAAGGAGGAAACAGAAAATTTTTAAATTTGTTGTGGACCATCCTGCCGTTTTTATGATTGTTGCCGGATTGTTTGAAAATCCAAACGTTTTATTTTATGGAAGACTCTCCCACCCTGAAGAAGTAACAAGTAGTGATATTTTGAGTGATTTGGGAAATTTCATGAGAAACCCCATAATAACCATAAACCGACTTTTCTAAATGTGCTAAAACATCCCCGCGCTAGATTGGGCATCGTTTCAACTGCAAAGTTATTAAAACGAACTAAGATCAACTTTGTTTTTTTGTTCAAATCAATACAAGCTATGTATTTTTATAAAATATTGTTTCTTATTATTTAAGTAACCTACTCTCACTTCTTATGTCCTCATGATATTTTCTAAATTAAAAAATTAAAAAACCAAATTTTCCAGTATAATAGAATTTTATACATTATACATTTATATAAAATTTATTATAACGTATTTTATATTCCACATTGATGTAGTAAATCGTATTAAACTTATTATAATTGCAGAAATGAAAATTAAGATAAAAGAGTATTCGACAAAAAATAACAAAAATTATAATAATAATTAACAAAAACAAGACCAATTCATAAAGCACAAGTACAGGAACACTTTATTTTATAAAATTGATGAGTTGGAGGGATGATTAAAGCAAATTTTGGTAAGCATTTCACAATCTACACTCTACTTTCGGAGACTCATCTGGATCTGCAAATAAACTAATTCATAAAAAATAACTGTATTTTTGTTGTAACAAGAAATTGGAATAGGTCACACCAACTGGAAAATTGACAAGTTAAATGGATTTAAATTTAGTGCCAATTAGTTATTTTCGTAAAGTGGAAGATTTAAGATGATTACTTCAAAAATTTACCATTTTAAAAAAGTTTCTTGTTGTCGAAAAAACTATATATATTAAGAAACAAAGGCAAAATGTTACCGCGCCCACCCACCCTATCTCATTTGTGATGATTTTTTTTATTCGTTGTGATCCAAGAGGGCGAAGCTGAACTGCAAAATCATTAGTTCTCTACGAGAAATTAAAAACTTGTTTTTGGATATCAGATCAAGGGGCGGGGCTTAATTGCAAGATCCATATTTGTCTACAAGGATTTCGAATTGAGACAGGGTGGGTGGGCGGGGCTTATATTTTGCCATTTTTCTTAATATACATAGTCGTCTTAAAACATTTAAAATGGAAAATTTATATAAGGAAATATCGATTTTGCAATTAGGCTCCGCCCGATAAATACAAAATTCATATTTCTTTGCAAAAATGTACCATTTTAACCATGTTTTTTTCTTGTTGTCTCTATTGGAGCATTGATCTGTTAGACGATAAACTATTATTATTACTATTGTTATTATTAAAAATTCTCATCAGGCGTTACGCACAGGTATGCTTATTATAGATAATTGAATGAACCATCTTTTACAAAACGTTGAACCAAAGTTAAAACATAAATTTGCTCTTTGTTTTGGCAACTTTTACTTTCACAAATATATTTGCTTGTGGAAGAAATAATTCGTTTCCCAATTATCAGGTATCAATTATTGTTTTCCGAAACTTTTTTCTAGGAATCATTGCCGTAAAAATGTTATGGTGATGTTATAAACAAATGTCAGCACTATGTAAAAAATGCCAATTTTCGACTGAAGAATATTTATAGGTCGCAATAAAAAATAGTCTGCCAAGAACTATATTTAGTCGCGAAATACACAGCAGTTGTAATTTTGGAGAAATTTATTTTTAAATTGAACTCGGTAGCGGCTAGTGCGTGTACAGAATTCTTATAATTTCGACTATCAACACCAGTGCTAAAACTGGTCTTTCGTGTAAAATCATTTTAAATGTCTTCTGATCAAAATCATGCCCAAGAAATTCTCCAAGGTAACGTCGCCTTCACCAACAAAATTTACCAAATCCTTTCCCGGAAACCCGGAAATGTTTTCTTTTCGCCGTTCAGTCTCCACGTTATTCTCGCCATGGCCTATCAAGCAACAGGAACCGAGACACTAGAAAGTATCCAAAAAGTGCTCGAAATTCCTGACCCTTTAAATACGGCCATTGGTTACAAACAAATAATCCGCAACCTGACATCGTTAAAAAATGGGTTCTTACATACAGCATTCAAGATCTACCTCGACAAAGAAAAACAACTCTTGCCGTCATTTGCAAGTACCGTTAAAGAGTACTTTGACTCAGAAGTCGAACTCGCCGATTTTAAAAAACCAACGGAAACCGCAAAAACGGTAAACGAATGGGTAGCCGAAAAAACACACGGAAAAATCAGACAGATCGTCACCGAAAGATCCGTTGAGTCTTCTTGTCTGTTTCTTCTTAACGCGCTCTATTTTAAAGGCGACTGGGATTCACCCTTTTCTGAAAATAAAACTCGAGAGATGCCTTTTTATTTGAATGACGAGAGCGTGGCGCAGGTGCAGATGATGACGGGTATAAAAAACGCTTCCTACAAGTTCGACGAACAACTGAATTGTCAAATTTTGGTTTTGCCTTACTGTGATAACGGGATCAAGATGACTATCATACTACCAGAGGAGAAAAATGGGATTGGAAACCTGGAAGCTGCGTTGAGTCAGATGAATCTTAGCGAAATCTTCACTAACTTGCGTCGAAGAAAAGTGGACGTGTCTTTACCGAAGTTTAAATTCGAGACGTCCATCGAGTTGAACGATGTTGTAAAAGAGGTATGTCTTGGTACGGTCGATGTGGTGGTTGTGTATAAACTGGTGACTTTTCTAGATGGGGCTTGCCGTGATGTACGACGAAGTGAACGCCGATTTTAAGAAGATGATAAGATTAGGCGCCGGGCAAAATTTATTCGTTAGTAAAATACTGCAAAAGGCTTGTATTGAGGTTAACGAAAAGGGGGCAGAAGCGGCCGCGGTTACAGGTATGTGTTCTGATCATGCTCGAATACAAGATCGTGCCAATGTTTGAAGTTTAGTTATAGAAATGCAAGTCGAAGTATGCTGTACGGACGTGGTAAAGTCAAATTATAAGTTCGTTGTGGATCATCCTGCGATTTTCATGATTGTTGCCGGAAAGCCTAAAAACACAAACATTTTGTTTTATGGAAGGTTGTACCACCCAAAGTACTAATTAAGAAGAAAGATCTACCACATGTTGTTTTTGGTTATTTTGATACGTAAAATTGTGGTAAACAGACACTCTTATTTTATAAAAAAATATATAATTGGATTTATTATAAATAAATTCGTACGAGACATCTTTTTCTTAAACTAAATTCTCATTTCGATTTTTGTATGTCACCGTAATAGTATTCACATGAAGAATAGTTAATTTAATGGTCCTAGCCACCAATTAACAACGTTATAATTTGAACTCGCAACTTCCAAAATTGTTTGTTTTTAATCAAAATGTCAATATACAACTGGACTGCCAACAATAAAACAAGACAATTCCACGCAAGCGTGAATCGCTTGGAAGACTTGCTCTCTGATATTTGGGGAAAGTATTGATTGGTCCACTATGATTTTTATATAACGCACAACTCTGTCATCGTAGGTACAAAAAAATCTAGGGATTTCTGAGGTGAGTTATTCGTAACGCTGCTTTCGTAAAGATAATGAAGCATCACATCATAATTTAGCAGCTTTCTAAAGACGATGAAAAGTTTTACGACCAAAAAGAGCTGTCTGTAGAAAAGTCGAGAAAAGCTTCTTCTAAACGTAGCGTAGGCTGAATATCATACAGACTTTTTTATTTGACGAATCAGAATTACTTAGGTACACAATGCTAATTTCGTTAACAACGCAACTAATGTGGATTTAATTTGTTTTAAATTCATCAAATCAATGTGTCCCGAAAATTTCCAAAGTTGGTTAGTTTGAACTGTTCTGCAATTGCAGCTATTAACAACAGTGTGAGGAGCATTCTTCAGTGTTAAATAACTTTTGATGGCTTCCAGTCAAGATTTTACCAACGAAATTCTCCAAGGAAATGCCGCCTTCACCAACAAGATTTACAAAATCCTTTCCCGGACACCCGGAAATGTGTTCTTTTCTCCGTTCAGTCTTCACATTGTCATCGCCATGGCGTACCAAGGAGCCAGAAACGAGACACTAAAAACCATCCAAAAAGTACTTCAAATTCCTGACCCCTTAAACACAGCAATTGGTTACCAAGAAATAACGCGCAACTTGACGTCATTAAAAAACGCACTTTTACACACTGCTTTCAAAATTTACATTCGAAAAGAATTTCGACTTTTATCCTCATTCGAAAACACGGTCAAAAAGTATTTTGACTCTGAAGTGAAATCCCTAGATTTTGATCAAACGAGCGCTGCGGTCAAAGAGATAAACGAATGGGTCTCTGAAAAAACACACGGAAAAATCGAGGATATCGTGGATGACGATTTGATAGCTTCTACTTCTTTGCTTCTTCTTAACGCGATATATTTTAAGGGCAAATGGGCTGTACCATTTTGTGAAAATAAGACTAAAATCAAGTGTTTTTATTTGAACGATCATGATGTGGTGAAAGTGCAAATGATGGAAGGTCGAAAAGATGGTTTTTACAAGTACAATAAACGTTTAAAGTCTCAAATTCTTGCTTTGCCGTATGAGGGTGAACAGATCTACATGATGATCTTCTTACCAGAAGATAAAAATGGAATTGGAGAACTGGAAGCTCTACTATCTGAAACGAATGATATTCAAACTTTTAATGAATTGAATTTTTTAGTAGTAGATGTGTCTTTACCAAAATTTAAATTCGAGACGACCATGGAAATGGATGACTTGATAAAAGAGGTATGTTCGAGTGGTATCAGCGAGATAATTGTGCATCAATTTGTGATTTTTTCTAGATTGGACTTGAAGTGATTTATGATCCAGTCAAAGCCGATTTAAAGGGGATGATCGAACTCGAAGAGGGAGAGAATTTGTGCGTAACTAAAATACTTCAAAAGGCTTATATTGATGTTAACGAACAAGGATCAGAAGCGGCTGCTGCTACAGGTACATGTACCAATGAATTCTTATAGAAAATCGTACTAATGTTTGGTATAGTTCTAGGAACGATTGTTCAGGTATCTAGCAAAGGAAGAACAATAAAACCTTTGAAGTTTGTTGTGGACCATCCTGCCGTTTTTATGATTGTTGCCGGATTATTTGAAAAACCAAACGTTTTATTTTATGGAAGACTGTCCCACCCTGAAGAAGTAACAAATAGTGGTATCTTGAGTGATTTCGCAAATTTCATGAGAAACCCCTTAATAACTATAAAGCGAATTTTCTAAATGTGCTAAACATCCACTCGCTGGCTGTGCATTCTTACAAAACTTTTTTTACATGAAAAACTATAATTGTAGAAATGAAAATTAAAATAAAAAAGTGATCAGAGGAGGTATTTTATTGTCTGTAATCGTTTTATAATTTACAAAATTGTAATAACAGAAATTTCTTGCTCTTACCTTGAAAAAACGGTATCCATTTCTCAATAGGTAGTATTTAATTTTCTACTTTATGCAATCAAATCAGGAAAGATTGTCGAATAACTGTTTAGTTTTAAGGCTTTTAGTAAAGAAATTATCCCTTTCTTAATTCAAACTTTTGTTTAGTCAACATCTTATTCCCTATAAAATTGTTCACTAAAAAATATTTGGAATAATCTAACAAATTAGAACCTCGACTATAATTTTCAAGTTTTTAAATATTACTTTTTAGTTATTATATTAAACCAAGAGGTCAGAGCACATTTCATTACTTTCGTACTTGAGTTATGGTCATTTTCAGTCAACTTGGTTGTAACTTGTTTTAATATTATAATCTTCAATTACCCAATGAAAAAATATTACTGAACATTTATGTATATGTTTAAGTCATACGAAGAAAATTTGCTGGAGATTATCTCTTGTACTATTTAATCGCCATGGTTGAAAACGTTATTAAACTTATCTGAACTTACATTTTCTGTAGTGTGATATATTGATTTTTGTTAAGTACGATTCGAATCTATTAATATTTTTAATTCTGTGATTTCGATTGTCACTAGTTTGCGCATAAGTGATCTTCTAACATTTTGTTTTCTCGGTGTATATGAACTTGGAGTATTAGTGACATCAAAAAATGCACTAAGTTCTGAGCTATTTTGTTGATTGCGGAATAAGCATACGTTTGAGTATCACTGGTTGCATAACATATTTTTTTCTTGGAGTTCATGAACTTGGAATATTGACATCTGGAATTCTGGACAGTCATGGTTCAAAGTGTTTGTTACATAGAAAGTCCTGTTCATATACGGTAATGTTCAATTAATAATGCACTTATGTTCCTATTTAAAATGAACTAATTGTTGAAGCGATGTTTTTCTCTCCTGAATGTTGATTCAACCAGAACTGGTTGTAAAAGTAATCTGCAAAAATGAACAAAAAAGCAAATATTTTTAACTTCATCAGTATAAGTATTGGGAACTGGTAGATCAAATTTTAAACCCATTTTTTCACTATAAATTAAACAAATCTAACAATGTTGATATGTCACATTACGAAAATCCTCATCTCAATATATCTACAACTGAACTGTCACTAATAAAACGAATCACAATTCTGCGCAATCGCTTCGAAGACTTGCTCTCTGGTCTAGGGAAACTATTGATTGCTACTTTATATTTTTGGTATATCGCACAACACTGCCACCATAGGTACAAACAAAATTTAGTGAAATCTTGGGTGAGTTAAAGCTGCTTTCGTAAAAATAATCAGACAAGAATTCATGATTCATTTCAGCAGCTTTCTAATGACGATGAAAAGTTTTACGATCAAAACAGAAAAGTTTCTTCTAAACGTAGGCCGACTTTTTTATTTCGATTTATGGTTGACGAATCTAAATTACTTAGGTGTACAATGTTATTTTCATTCCTCTTCTGAGATCGATTTTTAATTCGAATTTCTCTGTGGACCACTTTAATTCTTTTTAAATTCACCCGCTGACGCTTTTAGAGCTGAAAATTGTCATTTATAAGCTCCTTTGCCAAGTTGCCGTTGATACTAACTTTGATGTTCAACTTTTCCCGTATTTAAAGGGGTCGTAGAAGAGTGGAGGATTTAAGTTGATTACAAAAATGTACCCTTTTAGCCATGTTTTACGTTTCTTGTCAAACTAAGTCTACACATACTATTAAAAAAAAGGCAAAATGTAGCCCCGCCCACCCACCCGATTTCAATTGTGACGATTTTTTTTATTCGTCGTAAGCCAAGGGGGCGAAGCCTAACTGCACAATTCTTATTTCTCTACGAGAAAATAAAAACTTATTTGTGAGTATCGTGTTCAAAGAATATTATGTATATTAGGAAAAAATAACACCAAATAATAAGCCCCGCCCATACCCGCCCCGATCTCAATTCCCAATTGTGATTCCTTGTCAAATCGAGGGGCGGAGCTTAATTGTAAGATCTATATTTGTCTACAAGAATTTACGATTTTGAACATGTTTTAAGTTTCTTGGTCTGAAAAGACGACTACGTGTGTTGAGAGAAAAGGCAAAATATAAGCCCCGCCCACCCACCCTATCTCAATTGTAATGATTTTTTTTATCTTAATTTAATTTAATTGCAAAATTCTTATTATTTCTCTACAAGAAATTACCATATAAGACATCTTTTTGAGTATCGTGTTACTCAAAAAATACTACGTATATTAAAAAAATGAAGTCAAAGATTAAGCCCCACCCATACCTGCCCTGATTTAAATTGAAATTAAGTTTTTATTCGTTGTCAGAACTAGAGGCGGAACCTAATTGTAAAATGCATATTTTCTTATAAAAATTTACGATTTTAAACGTCTTTAAAATTTCTAAGAATAAAAAAATCGTCACAATTGAGAAAGGGTGGGTGGGCGGGGTTTATATTTTCCTTCTTTTCTTAATATACATAGTATTCTTTGAACAATACGATACTCAACAGCATGTTTTTAATTTCTTGTAAAAAAATAACTATTTTGCAGTTAAGCTCCGTCCCCTTGGTTCACAGTAAATAAAAAAAAATCATCACAATTAACATAGGGCGGGTGGGCGGGCTTACCTTTTGTCTTTTTGTTTTAATATGTGTAGACTTCTTTTCACAACATGAAACATAAAATATGTTTAAAATGGAAAATTTGTATATTACGATTAGGCTCCGCCCCAAAGTTGCGAAATGCATATTTCCTTGCAAAAATGTACCATTTTAACCATGTTTTAAGTCTCTTGTTGTGAAAAGATGGCTACGTATATTAAGAAAAAAATAGGCAAAATATAAGCCCCGCCCACCCGCCCTATCTCAATTGTGATGATTTTTTTTATTCGTCGTGAGTCAAAGGGACGGAGCTGAACTGCAAAATCTTTATTACTCTACGAGAAATTAAAAACATATTTTTGAAGGGCGCGGCTTAATTACAAGATAAATATTTGTCTACAAGAATTTACCATTTTAAACATGTTTTAAGTTTCGTGTTCTGAAAAGACGCCTACGTATATTAAGAAAAAAGGCAAAATTTAAGCCCCGCCCACCCACCCTATCTCAGTTATAATGATTTTTTTGTCTTAATTTAATTTAATTGCAAAATTCTTATTGTTTCTCTACAAGAAATTACCATATAAGACATCTTTTTGAGTATCGGGTTACTCAAAGAATACTATGTATAAAAAAAAAATGAAGCCAAAAATTAAGCTCCACCCATACCTGCCCTGATTTAAATAGAAATTAAGTTTTTATTCGTTGTCATAACTACTCGTACAGGCGGAAACTAATTGTAAAATGCATATTTTCCTACAAAAATTTACGATTTTAAACGTGCTTTAAATTTCTAAGAATAAAAAAATCGTTACAATTGAGATAGGGTGGGTGGGCGGGGTTTATATTTTGCCTCTTTTTCTTAGTATACATTGTATTCTTTGAACAACACGATACTCAACACAATGTTGTTAATTTTTTTTAAAGAAATAACTATTTTGCAGTTAAGCTCCGCCTCCTTGGTTCACAGTGAATAAAAAAATCATCACAATTAAGATAGGGCGGGTGGGCGGGCTTACCTTTTGTCTTTTTGTTTTAATATGTGTAGACTTCTTTTTACGACATGAAACATAATACATTAAAATGGAAAAATTGTTTAAGGAATGATTTTGTAATTAGGCTCCGCCCCTTAATTGCAAAATCCATGTTTCCTTGCAAACACCATTTTAAACATGTTTGAAGTTTCTTATGATGAAAACATGGGTGTGTATATTAAGAAAAACAAAAGGTAAACTATAACCCCCGCCCGCCCGCCTTGTCTCGATTCTGACGATTTTTTTATTTGTCGTAAGCCGAGGGGCGGAGCTTAATTGTAAAATCGTTATTTTTCTACGAGAAATCACCATGTGAAATACGTTCTTAAGTAATCGTGTTATACAAAGAAAACTAGCAAATTAAATATTTAATCATTCATCAACTGACTATGACGTAAACTTCCAAAGTTGCTTAGTTTGAATAGTTCTACACTTTCAGCTATTAACAGCATTGATGGCTTCCAGTCAAGATTTTACCAAAGAAATTCTCGAAGGAAATGCCGCCTTCGCCAATAAGATTTACCAAATCCTTTCCCGGACACCCGGAAATGTGTTCTTTTCTCCGTTCAGCCTTCACATTGTCATCGCCATGGCGTACCAAGGATCAGGAAACGTGACCCTAGAAACCATCCAAAAAGTACTTCAAATTCCTGACCCCTTAAGCACAGCCATTGGTTACCAAGAAATAACGCGCAACTTGACTAGATTAAAAAAAGTAGTTTTACACACTGCTTTCAAAATTTACCTCAGAAAAGAATTTCGACTTTTATCGTCGTTTGAAAACACGGTCAAAGAATATTTTGACTCTGAAGTGGAATCTCTGGATTTTGATCAAAGGAGCGCAACGGTCAAACACATAAACCAATGGGTCTCTGAAAAAACACACGGAAAAATCGAGGATATCGTGGATGACGATTTGATAGCTTCTACTTCTTTGCTTCTTCTTAACGCGATATATTTTAAAGGCAACTGGGATATACCTTTTTCTGAACGTAAGACTAAGGTGAGAAATTTTTATCTGAACGATCACGATGTGGTGAAAGTGCAAATGATGGAAGGTCGAAAAGATGGTTTTTACAAGTACAATAAACGTTTAAAGTCTCAAATTCTTGCTTTGCCGTATGAGGGTGAACAGATCTACATGATGATCTTCTTACCAGAAGATAAAAATGGGATTGGAGAACTGGAAGCTCTACTATCTGAAACGAATGATATTCAAACTTTCAATGAATTGAATTTTTTAGTAGTAGATGTGTCTTTACCAAAATTTAAATTCGAGACGACCATGGAAATGGATGACTTGATAAAAGAGGTATGTTCGAGTGGTATCAGCGAGGTAATTGTGCATCAATTTGTGATTTTTTCTAGATTGGACTTGAAGTGATTTATGATCCAGTCAAAGCCGATTTAAAGGGGATGATCGAACTCGAAGAGGGAAAGAATTTGTGCGTAACTAAAATACTTCAAAAGGCTTGTATTGATGTTAACGAAAAAGGATCAGAAGCTGCTGCTGCTTCAGGTACATGTACCAATGAATTCTTATAGAAAATCGTACTAATGTTTGGTATAGTTGTAGGAACGATTGTTCAGGTATCTAGCAAAGGAAGAACAATAAAACCTTTGAAGTTTGTTGTGGACCATCCTGCCGTTTTTATGATTGTTGCCGGATTATTTGAAAAACCAAACGTTTTATTTTATGGAAGACTGTCCCACCCTGAAGAAGTAACAAATAGTGGCATCTTGAGTGATTTCGCAAATTTCATGAGAAACCCCTTAATATAAAGCGAATTTTCTAAATGTGCTAAACATCCACTCGCTGGCTGTGCATTCTTACAAAACTTTTTTTACATGAAAAACTATAATTGTAGAAATGAAAATTAAAATAAAAAAGTGATCAGAGGAGGTATTTTATTGTGTGTAATCGTTTTATAATTTACAAAATTGTAATAACAGAAATTTCTTGCTCTTACCTTGAAAAAACGGTATCCATTTCTCAATAGGTAGTATTTAATATTCTACTTTATGCAATCAAATCAGGAAAGATTGTCGAATAACTGTTTAGTTTTAAGGCTTTTACTAAAGAAATTATCCCTTTCTTAATTCAAACTTTTGTTTAGTCAATATCTTATTCTGTATAAAATTGTTCACTAAAAAAGTATTTGGAATAATCTAACAAATTAGAACCTCGACTATAATTTTCAAGTTTTTAAATATGTATTACTTTTTTACACATTTATTAGTGTTACTCTCCCGCGTTTTAGTTATTATATTACACCAAGCTACATTTTCTGTAGTGTGATATATTGATTTTTGTTCGATTCGAATCTATTAATGTTTTTAATTCTGTGATTTCGATTGTCACTTGTTTGAGCATCAGTGATCTTCTAACATTTTGTTTTCTCGGTGTATATGAACTTGGAATATTAGTGACATAAAAAAATGCTCGAAGTTCTGAGCTATTTTGTTGATTGCGGAATAAGCATACGCTTGAGTATCACTGGTTGCATAACACATTTTTTCTTGGAGTTCATGAACTTGGAATATTGACATCTGGAATTCTGGACAGTCATGGTTCAAAGTGTTTGTTACATAGAAAGTCCTGTTCATATACGGTAATGTTCAATTAATAATGCACTTATGTTCCTATTTAAAATGAACTAATTGTTGAAGCGATGTTTTTCTCTTCTGAATGTTGATTCAACCAGAACTGTTTGTAAAAGTAATCTGCAAAAATGAACAAAAAAGCAAATATTTTTAACTTCATTAGTATAAGTATTGGGAACAGGTAGATCAAATTTTAAACCCATTTTTTCACTATAAATTAAACAAATCTAACAATGTTGATATGTCACATTACGAAAATCCTCATCTCAATATATCTACAACTGAACTGTCACTAATAAAACGAATCACAATTCTGCGCAATCGCTTCGAAGACTTGCTCTCTGGTATAGCGAAACTATTGATTGGTACTTTATATTTTTGGTATATCGCACAACACTGCCATCATAGGTACAAACAAAATTTAGTGAAATCTTGGGTGAGTTAAAGCTGCTTTCGTAAAAATAATCAGACAAGAATTCATGATTCATTTCAGCAGCTTTCTAATTACGATGAAAAGTTTTACGATCAAAAGACAAAATTTCTTCTAAACGCAGGCCGACTTTTTTATTTCGATTTATGGTTGACGAATCTAAATTACTTAGGTGTACAATGTTATTTTCATTCCTCTTTTGAGATCGATTTTTAATTCGAATTTCTCTGTGGACCCCTTTAATTCTTTTTAAATTCACCCGCTGACGCTTTTAGAGCTGAAAATTGTCATTTATAAGCTCCTTTGCCAAGTTGCCGTTGAAACTAACTTTGATGTTCAACTTTTGCCGTATTTAAAGCGGTTGTAGAAGAAGAGTGGAACGTTTAAGTTGATTATTACTAAAAGTTACAATTTTAGACATGTTTTACGCTTCTTGTTGTCCAAATAAGTCTACACATACTAAGAAAAAATGCAAAATATAAGCCCCGCCCACCCACCCGATCTCAATTGTGATGATTTTTTTTTGTTCGTCGTAAGCCAAGGGGGGCAAGCCTAACTGCAAAATTATTATTTCTCTACGAGAAATTAAAAACATGTTTTGAGTATCGTGTTGTTCAAAGAATATTACGTATATTAGGAAAAAATTCCCAATTGTGATTCGCTGTCAGATCGAGGGGCGGAGCTTAATTGCAAGATCCACATTTGTCTACAAGAGTTTACCATTTTGAACATGTTTTAAGTTTCAAGTTCTGAAAAGGTGACTACGTATATTAAAAAAAAAAAAGCAAAATATAAGCCCCGCCTACCCACCCTATTTCTATTGTAATGATTTTTTTTATCTTAATCCAAGTTAATTGCAAAATTCTTATTATTTTTCTACAAGAAATTAGCATATAAGACATCTTTTTGAGTATCGCGTTATTCAAAGAATACTGTGTATATTATAAAAATGAAGGCAAAGATTAAACCCCACCCACACCTGCCCTGATTTAAATAGTAATGAAGTTTTTATTCGTTGTCAGAACTAGAGGCGGAACCTAATTGTAAAATGCATATTTTATTACAAAAGTTTACGATTTTAAACGTGTTTGAATTTCTAAGAATAAAAAAATGGTAACAATTGAGAAAGGGTGGGTGGGCGGGGTTTATATTTTCCTTCTTTTCTTAATATACAAAGTATTCTTGGAACAACACGATACTCAACAGCATGTTTTTAATTTTTTTTAAAGAAATAACTATTTTGCAGTTAAGCTCCACCCACTTAGTTAACAGTGAATAAGAAAAAAATTATCACAATTAAGACAGGGTGGGTGGGCGGGCTTACCTTTTGCCTTTTTGTTTTAATGTGTGTAGACTTCTTTTCACAACATGAAACATAAAATATGTTTAAAATGGAAAATTTGTATATTACAATTAGGCTCCGCCCTAAAATTGCGAAATCCATATTTCCTTGTAAAAATGTACCATTTTAACCATGTTTTAAGTTTCTTGTTGTGAAAAATGGATACGTATATTAAGAACAAAAAAGGTAAAAATAAGCCCCGCCCACCTGCCCTATCTCAATTGTGATAATTGTATTTTATTCGTCCTGAGCGAAGGGGACAGAGCTTAACTGCAAAATCTTTATTACTCTATTAGAAATTAAAAACATATTTTTGAGGGGCGGCGCTTAATTGCAAGATAAATATTTGTCTACAAGAATTTGCCATTTTAAACATGTTTTAAGTTTCTTGTTCTGAAAAAACGACTACGTATATTAAGAAAAAAGGGCAAAATATACGCCCCGCCCACTCACCTTATCTAAATTGTAATGATTTTTTTTGTCTTAATTTAATTTAATTGCAAAATTTTATTATTTCTCTACAAAGATTAAGCCCCACCCATACCTGCTCTGATTTAATTAGTAATGAAGTTTTTATTTGTTGGCAGACCCAGAGGCGGAGCCTAATTGTAAAATACATATTTTCCTACAAAAATTTACCATATTAAACGTGTTTTAAGTTTCTAAAAATAAAGAAAATAATCACAATTTAGATGCAGTGGGTGGGCGGGGTTTATATTTTGCCTTCTTTTCTTAATATTCTTAGTATTCTTTGAACAACACGATACTCAACAGCATGTTTTTAATTTCTTGTAAAGAAATAACTATTTTGAAGTTAAGCCCCACCCCCTTTGGTTCATAGTAAATAAAAAAAATCATCACACTTAACATAGGGCGGGTGGGCGGGCTTATGTTTTGTCTTTTTGTTTTAAAATGTGTAGACTTTTTCCACAACATGAAACATAAAACATGTTTAAAATGGAAAATTTTTATAAGGAAATATTGCAATTAGGTCCGCTCCAAAATTTCGAAATGCATATTCCCTTGCAAAAATGTACCATTTTAACCATGTTTTAAGTCTATTGTTGTGAAAAGATGGTTGCGTATATTAAGAAAAAAAAAGGCAAGATATAAGCCCCGCCCACCCTCCCTGTCTCAATTGTGACGATTTTTTTATTCGTCGTGAATCAAGGGGACGGAGCTTAACTGCAAAATCTTTATTACTCTACGGTCTACGAGAAATTAAAAACATATTTTTGAGGGGCGGGGCTTAATCGCGAGATCCATATTTGTCCACAAGAATTTATCATTTTAAACATGTTTTAAGTTTTTTGTTTTAAAGAATCGACTACGTATATTAAGAAAAAAAGCAAAATATAACCCCACCCACCCGCCCTATCTCACTTGTGATGATTTTTTTTATAATCGTCGAGAGCCAAAGGAGCGGAATTTAACTGCAAAATTCTTATTATTTTTCTACAAGAAATAAGCTTGTAAGACATGGTGCTCCACCCATACCTGCCTTGATATAAATAGTAATGAAGTTTTTATTCGTTGGCAGAACTAGGGGCGGAGTCCTAAATGTATAGTACATATTTCCTTAGATAAATTTACCATTTTAAATGTGTTTTAAGTTTTTAAGAATAAAAAAATCGTCACAATGTAAATGGGGTGGGTGGGCGGGGTTTATATTTTGCCTCTTTTTCTTAATTAACATTGTATTCTTTGAACAACACGATACTCAACAGCATGTTTTTAATTTTTTTTTAAGAAATAACTATTTTGCAGTTAAGCTCCGCCTCCTTGGTTGACAGTGAATAAAAAAATCATCACAATTAAGATAGGGCGGGTGGGCGGGCTTACCTTTTGTCTTTTTGTTTTAATATGTGTAGACTTCTTTTTACGACATGAAACATAATACATTAAAATGGAAAAATTGTTTAAGGAAAGATTTTATATTTAGGCTCCGCCCCTTAATTGCAAAATCCATGTTTCCTTGCAAACACCATTTTAACCATGTTTGAAGTTTCTTATGATGAAAACATGGATGTCTATATCAAGAAAAAAGAAGACAAAATATAAGCCCCGCCCATCCACCCTGTCTCAATTGTGATGAGTGTTATTCAAAGAATACTATGTATATTTAAAAAAATGAAGCCAAAGATTAAGCCCCACCCATACCTGCCCTGATTTAAATAGTAATGAAGTTTTTATTCGTTGGCAGACCCAGAGGTGGAGCCTAATTGTAAAATACATATTTTCTTACAAAAATTTATCATTTTAAACGTGTTTTAAGTTTCTAAGAATAAAAAAAATCATTACAATTTAGATGCGGTGGGTGGGCGGTATTAATAAATATTTTGCGTTCTTTTCTTAATATATGTATTATTCTCTGAAAATACGATACTCAACAGCATGTTTTTAATTTCTTGTAAAGAGATAACTATTTTGCAGTTAAGCTTCGCTCCCTTAGTTCACAGTGAATAAAAAAAAGTCATCACAATTAAGATAGGGCGGGTGGGCGGGCTTATCTTTTGCCTTTTTGTTTAGATTTCTCATCACAACATGAAACATAAAACATATTTAAAATGGAAACGTTGTTTAAGGAACGATTTTGCAATTAGGCTCCGCCCCAAAATAGCGAACTCCATATTTCCGTGCAAAAAAGTACCATTTTAACCATGTTTTAAGTTTCTTGTTGTGAAAAGATGGCTACGTATATTAAGAAAAACAAAAGGTAAAATATAAGCCCCGCCCACCCACCCTGTCTCAATTGTGATAATTTTTTTTATTCGTCCTGAGGCAAGAGGACGGAGCTTAACTGCAAAATCTTTATTACTCTACGAGGAATTAAATACATATTTTTGAGGGACGGGGCTTAATGGTAAGATAAATATTTGTCTACAAGAATTTGCCATTTTAAACAAGTTTTAAGTTTCTTGTTCTGGAAAGACGAGTACGTATATTAAGAAAAAAGGCAAAATATAAGCGGCGGTCAATGAAAAAAAATTATCACAATTAACATAGGGCGGGTGGGCGGGCTTATCTTTTGCCTTTTTGTTTTAATATGTGTAGATTTCTCATCACAACATGAAACATAAAACATATTTAAAATGGAAAAATTGTTTAAGGAATAATTTTGCCATTAGGCTCCGCCCCAAAATAGCGAACTCCATATTTCCTTGCAAAAAAGTACCATTTTAAGCATGTTTTAAGTTTCTTGTTGTGAAAAGATGGCTACGTATATTAAGAAGTAAAAGGCAAAACATAAGCCCCACCCACCCGCCCTATCGCAATTGTGATGATTTTTTTTACTCGTCGTGAATCATGGGAACGGATCTTAACTGCAAAATCTTTATTACTCGACGAGAAATTAAAAACATATTTTTGAAGGGCGGGGCTTAATTACAAGATAAATATTTTTTTACAAGAATTTACCATTGTAAACATGTTTTATGTTGTTTGTTCTGAAAAGTAGACTAGATATATTAAGAAAAAAGGAAAAATATAAGCCCCGCCCACCTATCCTATCTCAATTGTAATGATTTTTTTATCTTAATTTAATTTAATTACAAAATTCTTATTGTTTCTCTACAAGAAATTACCATATAAGACATCTTTTTGAGTATCATGTTATTCAAAGAATACTAAAATATTAAGCCCCACCCATACCTGGCCTGATTTAAATAGTAATGAAGTTTTTATTCGTTGGCAGACCTAGGGGCGGAGCTTAATTGTAAAATACATATTTCCTTACATAAATTTACCATTTTAAATGTGTTTTAAGTTTCTAAGAATAAAAAAATCATTAGAATTGAGACGGGGTGGGTGGGCGGGGTTTATATTTTGCGGCTTTATCTTAATGTACATGGTATTTTTTGTACAACACGATTCTCAAAAACATGTTTTTAATTTCTTGCAAAGAAATAAGTATTTTGCAGTTAAGATCCGCCCCGTTGCTTAACGGCGAATAAAAAAAATCATCACAATTGAGACAGGGCGGGTGGGCGGGTTTAGATTTTGTCTTTTTGTTTTAATATGTGTAGACTTGTTTTCACAACATAAAACTTAAAACATGTTTAAGATGAAAAATTTGTATAAGGAAATATCCATCTTTCCTTGCAAAAATGTATCACTTTAACCATGTTTTAAGTTTCTTGTTCTGAAACGACGACTACGTATATCAAGAAAAAAGGCAAAATATAAGCCCCACCCACCCACCCTATCTCAATTGTAATGATTTTTTTATCTTAATTTTATTTAATTGCAAAATTCTTATTATTTCTCTACAAGAAATTACCCATATAAGACATCTTTTTGAATGTCGTGTTATTCAAAGAATACTATGTATATTAAAAAAATGAAGCCAAAGATTAAGCCCCACCCATACCTGCTCTGATTTAAATAGTAATGCAGTTTTTATTCGTTGGCAGACCCAGAGGCGGAGCCTAATTGTAAAATACATATTATCTTACAAAAATTTATCATTTTAAACGTGTTTTAAGTTTCTATGAACAAAAAAATCATCCCAATTTAGATGGGGTGGGTGCGCGGGGTTTATATTTTGCTTTCTTTTCTTAATTGCATAGTATTCTTTGAACTACACGATACTCAAAAGCATGTTTTTAATTTCTTGTAAAAAATAACTATTTTGCAGTTAGGCTCCGCCTCCTTGGTACACAGTGAATAAAAAAAATCATCACAATTAACATGGGGCGGGTGGGCGGGCTTACATTTTGTCTTTTAGTTTTAATATGTGTAGGCTTCTTTTCATAACATGAAACATAAAACATGTTTAAAATGGAAAAATTGTTTAAGGAAATATTGATTTTGCAATCCATGTTTCCTTGCAAAATCATTTTAACCATGTTTGAAGTCTTTCATGATGAAAACATGGATGTGTATATTAAGAAAAAAAAATATAGTCCCCGCCCGCCCACCCTGTCTCGATTCTGATGATTATTTTTATTCGTCGTTAGCTGAGGGGCGGAGCTAATTGTAAAATCGTTATTTTTCTACGAGAAATTACCATGTGAAATATGTTCTTAAGGAATCGTGTTAAACAAAGAAAACTAGGGGCCGATTTATAGAAAAGCGAATTAAATATTTAAGCCTTCATCAACTGACTATGACGTAAACTTCCAAAGTTGATTAGTTTGAATAGTTGTGCATTTTCAGCTATTAACAACATTGATGGCTTCCACTCAAGATTTTACCACAGAAATTCTCCAAGGAAATGGCGCCTTCGCCAGTAAGATTTACCAAATCCTTTCCCGGACACCCGGAAATGTGTTCTTTTCCCCGTTCAGTCTTCACGTTGTCATCGCCATGGCGTACCAAGGATCAGGAACCGGGACCCTAGAAACCATCCAAAAAGTGCTTCAAATTCCTGACCCCTTAAGCACAGCCAATGGTTACCAAGAAATAACGCGCAACTTGACTAGATTAAAAAAAGTAGTTTTACATACTGCTTTCAAAATTTACCTCAGAAAAGAACGAGAACTTTTGCCGTCGTTTCAAAACACTGTTAAAGAATGTTTTCGCTCTGAAGTGGAAGCTTTGGATTTTGATCAGATAAGTGGAAGTGTCAAAGAGATTAACAAATGGGTGGCTGAGAAAACACACGGAAAAATCAAGGATATGGTGAACGCCGAATTGGTAGCTTCGACTACTTTGTTTCTCCTTAATGCGATCTACTTTAAAGGAGACTGGGATGAGACTTTTTCTAAATCTAAGACTAAGAAAAGAGATTTTTATTTGAATGGTAGTGATATGGTGAAGGTGCAAATGATGAAAGGTCGAAAAACTGGTAGGGTTGGAACCAACGATCAGTTAAAGTCTGAAATTTTGGCTTTGCCGTATGAAGGCGGACAGGTCTACATGGTGATCTTGCTACCAAGAGAGAAAAATGGGATTGGAGATCTGGAAGCTGCACTGTCTGAAATAGATCATAGTAGAATTCTCAGTGGCTTGCACGCCAAAACGTTGGATGTGTATTTACCTAAGTTTAAATTCGAGACGACCATGGACATGGATGACTATATAAAAGAGGTATGTTCTAGTGGTGTTAGTGTGCATCACTTGGTGATTTTTCTAGGTTGGACTTGAAGTGATTTATGACCAAGACGAAGCCGATTTTAAGGGGATGATTGAACTCAAAGAGTATGAGAATTTGTTCGTAACTAAAATACTTCAAAAGGCTTGTATCGATGTTAATGAAAAGGGATCAGAAGCTGCTGCTGCTTCAGGTACGTGTACTGATTAATCCGCATAGAGAATCCAACTAATGTTTGGTATAGTTGTATCAGTGTCAGTGAAAATATCTCACCCACCCCCAAAACCTCGATTTGATAAATTCGTTGTGGACCATCCTGCCGTTTTTATGATTGTTGCCGGAAAAGGTGAAGCAACAAACATTTTATTTTATGGAAGATTGTCCCAACCCAAATACTAATTAAGAAGCAATTTTATTAGTGATATCTGGCTTTATTCTGAGTGTTGTTCCAACAGATGTCACACTATCTAAAAAATACTAATTTTTCGAATAAATTGTGTACCTATGTCTGGATAATTTTAGAGTAGTTATTTTTAGACTGAAGTTTTGTAAACATTGTGATGAGTGCTCTAGTCTGTTAAATTATTTTAAATGTCTTCGGGTCAAAATAACTTCGCCTTCACCAACAAGCTTTACCAAATCCTTTCCCGAAAACCCGGAAATGTGTTCTTTTCACCGTTCAGCCTCCACGTTTTGCTCGCCATTGCATACCAAGGAGCAAGAAATGTGACACTAGAAACAATCCAAAAAGTGCTTCAAATTCCGGCCGCTAGTTACAAAAATATAATCCACCACTTAACAACCTTAGAAAATGTGCAGCTATCTATAGCATTCAAAATTAACCTTAAAAAAGAAAAACGACTCTTGGTGTCGTTTGAAAACACCGCCAAAGACTATTTTGACTCTGAAGTCGAACCCATGGATTTTACTCAGAACACCGAAACCACAAGAAAAACCAAGAATAGCATCGACGAAATTTTGGTATCTCTTCCTTTTTTGACTCTTCGTAGCACACTCTACTTTAAAAGCGACTGGGCTTTACCCTTTTGTGAAAGCAAGACTCATGAAAGATCTTTTTATTTGAATGACGACGACGTAGTGCAGGTGCAGATGACGAAAGATCGGAAAAAAGTTCCCTATAAGTACGACAAAGACCTGGATAGTCAAATTTTGATTTTGCCATACGCGGGTGACGAAGTCCATATGGTGATCATACTACCAAAAGAAAAAAATGGGATTGGAAACCTGGAAGTGGCGTTGAGTAAGATGGATCTTAGGGAAGTCTTCACCGAATTGCGTCACAGGAAAGTGGATGTGTTTTTACCAAGGTTTAAATTCGAGAGGTCCACGGTAATGGACGACGTGGTGAAAGAGGTGTGGATTATCGATGTCGTCGTTGTGCATAAAATAGTAATTTTTCTAGATGGGACTTGGAGTGATTTATGACCAAGACAAGGCGGATTTTACGGGTGTGGTTGAACTAGAAACGGGCGAGAATTTATATGTGAATGGAATAGTTCAACAAGCTTGTATTGATGTTAATGAGAAGGGAACAGAAGCAGCTGCTGTTGCCGGTACGTGCTTATATACAGGGTGAGTGTTATAATAACGGGACCTTGATCAAATTTCAATGCAACACAAAATAAATATCTCATATGTAACTCTTTTTATATTTTATTTTTACCTACAAATTTGGCAACTTAATGAAAAAAACGAATATTTCACTGTAGATACTCTTTTGGTATATTCTAGGGAACAGTTGGAATTTAAAGGGGGGCGAACCATATTATACAAAATTCTTAAGTCAAAGGGTTATAAACACAGGGAAGTAAATGGTCGCAAAATTCCATGTGAACAAAAACAGGATTACAGAAAAAACAACAACAAAGAAAGTAATTTAAAAAGCAAAAAAACGATAGAAAAAATGTCGGCAAAAGAAAATATGGCAAACAAGAGCAAAAAGGCGGACAAAAAACGACAGAAAAAAAGCGATTAAAAACGACAAAAACAACCGAAAAACTATAAAAAAGGCATAAACACTGAAAAAACGACAAAGAAAAAAAAAGATGACAAAAAAGGTTATCAAAATGGGCACAAAAAACTACAACAAAACGGCAAAAAAACCGACATAAAAAACGGCAAAAATAGGCAACAGAAAAAACACCAAAAAAGGCAACAAATAAGTTATAACAATAGGAAATAAAAACGGAGACAAAAACATAACCAATAAAAAAGTAAGAAAAAATGCAACAAATAAAAGGGGGCAGCAAAAGGAACGACAGAAAAAGCAAGCAAAAAACAAGTTAACAAAAAAGTTATTAAAAAGAGGACAAAAAAGGCAACAAAAAAACGACAAAAAGAGTATAAAAATGGGGACAAAAATGACATAAATAGGCGACAAAAATAAGAAGCGGACAGAAAGAGCATAAAAAGTGCCTGTAAAAGGGTAACAGGGAACCAACAAAAAAGAGACAAAAGCTTGAAAAACCAAACTCACAAAAAGGCAAGAAGATTACAAAAAAAGGGGGCGGAAAAAAAGAGCATTGAAATGGGGACAAAAAAAGGGCAACAGAAAAACCAACAAACGAGGGTAACACAAAAAGTGAAAAAAAAGGAGACAAAAACGTGAATAACAAGTCACAAGAGAGAAAAAACGTTAAAAAATAATGGTAAAAGGAACGACAGAAAAAGCAAAAAAAAATTACGAAATAGACTATTAAAAGGGGAACAAAAAAGGACAGAAAAAGCGACAAAAGGAGGACTGGAAAAAACAACAAAAAGTGTGATACAGAAGGCTATAAAAAGGAAGGCAAAAACGTGACTATCAAAAAACTACAAGAAAGGCAACAGAAAAACCGACAAAGAAAGTGATAAAAAAAGAATAAATCAGAAAAAAAAAGCAAAAATGATCAAAAAAGAACGGCAAACGGAGCGACAGAAAGAGTAAACAAAAAAACTACAAAAAGTGATAAAAAATCAAAAAACCGGCTCAAAAATGGATGCAAAAAGAGCGAGAGAAAAAATGACGATAAAAACCGACAAAAATTTACAGAAAAACTATAAAAAGGCATAAATATTGAAAAAAGCTAAAAAAGGCAAAAGGAGGTACAGAAAGACTATCAAAAGAGATGACAAAAAGAACATGAAAATGGGGACAAAAAATTAGAACAAAAACGATAAAAAATAGCAAAAAAGGGGCAACAGAAAAAAAACACCAAAGAAGGCAAGCAACAAAGAAGTGAAAAAAAGGAGATAAAAACGGAGACAAAAACCTAACCAACAAAAGAGCCACAATTAAAGGTAATAAAAAAACTACAAAAAATGCAACAAATAAATTATAACAATAGGAAATAAAAACGGAGACAAAAACATAACCAATAAAAAAAAATAAGAAAAAATGCAACAAATAAAAGGGGGCAGCAAAAGGAACGACAGAAAAAGCAAGCAAAAAACAAGTTAAGAAAAAAGTTATTAAAAAAGGGGACAAAAAAGGCAAAGTAAGGGGATAAAAACAGAAAAAAAACGTGATCAACAAAAGCCACAAAAAATGCAACAAAAAACGACAAAGGACGAAAAATAGGGTATTAAAATGGGGACAAAAATGACATAAATAGGCGACAAAAATATAAAAAAAGGAAACAAAAAGCGGAAAGAAAGAGCATAAAAAAGCTTGAAAAACCAAACTCACAAAAAGGCAAGAAGATTACAAAAAAAGGGGGTGGAAAAAAAAGAGCATTGAAAGGGGGACAAAAAAAGGGCAACAGAAGAACCAACAAACGAGGGTAACACAAAAAGTGAAAAAAAAAAGGAGACAAAAACGTGAATAATCAGTCACAAGAGTGAAAAAACGTTAAAAAATAATGGTAAAAGGAGCGACAAAAAAGCAAAAAAAAATAACGAAGAAAAACAACAAAAAAGGGCAACAAAGAAAGTGATAAAAAAAAGAATAAATCAGAAAAAAAAAGCAAAAATGATCAAAAAAGGACGGCAAACGGAGCGACAGAAAGAGTAAACAAAAAAACTACAAAAAGTGATAAAAAATCAAAAAACCGACTCAAAAACGGATGCAAAAAGAGCGAGAGAAAAAATGACATAAAAAAGGCGATAAAAACCGACAAAAAGTTACAGAAAAACTATAAAAAGGCATAAAAGGGGACCAAAAAACTACATTAAAAACGATACAAAAAAGAGGCAATAGAAAAAACACCAAAAAAAGGCAACAAAGTGATAAAAAAGGGAGTTAAAAACGGAGACAAAAACGTAACCACAAAAAAAATACAAAAAAAAATCCGGACAGACGGACAGACAGACAGACGGAAACGGGAGACCTATTTCTTCGTCCTGTAGGGGTAATGAATGGTCGAGAAAACGTAAAGTAACGGAAAGTCAAAACGACAAAAAAGGGCAGCAAAGGGAAAGACAGATCCATAAAAAAATTGAATTCGACAATAGAGTTACTAAAGGGTGGACAAAAAAAAGACAAAAGGGGCAACAGAAAACACAAGAAAAAGAGTGATAAAAAAGCGCTAAAAAAGGGAGATAAAAACGTGACCAACAAAAGATACAAAAAAGCAACAAAAAACGACAAAAAAAATTAAAAGAAAGAGCAAGCAAAAAAAGATGACAAAAGGGGGCTTTAAAATGGAGACAAAAACGAACGAAAAGGCAACAAGAAATACATAAAGGCAACAAAAAGCGGAGAGACAGAATAAAAAAGCGATACAAAAAAAAAACAACAAAAAAAGTGGCGAAAAAGAGACAAAAGCGTGAAAAACCCAAGTCACAAAAAGGCAAGAAGATTCAAAAAAAGGGGGCGGAAAAAAAGAGCATTGAAATGGGGACAAAAAAAGGGCAAAAGAAAAACCAACAAACGAGGGTAACACAAAAAGTGAAAAAAAAGGAGACAAAAACGTGAATAACAAGTCACAAGAGTGAAAAAACGTTAAAAAATAATGGTAAAAGGAGCGACAGAAAAAGCAAAAAAATTAACGAAAAAAACCATCAAAAAGGGAACAAAAAGGACAGAAAAAGCGACAAAAGGAGGACTAGAAAAAACAACAAAAAGAGTGATACAAAAGGCTATAAAAGTGGAGGCAAAAACGTGACTATCAAAAAAACTATAAAAAAGGCAACAAAAAAAATGGATGACAAAAAAGGCAACAGATAAACCAAAAAAAGGGCAACAAAGAAAGTGATAAAAAAAGAATAAAACCAGAAAAAAAAGCAAAAATGATCAAAAAAGGACGGCAAACGGAGTGACAGAAAGAGTAAACAAAAAAACTACAAAAAGTGATAAAAAATCAAAAAACCGACTCAAAAATGGATGCAAAAAGAGCGAGAGAAAAAATGACATAAAAAAGGCGATAAAAACCGACAAAAATTTACAGAAAAACTATAAAAAGGCATAAATATTGAAAAAAGCTAAAAAAGGCAAACGGAGCGACAGAAAGACTATCAAAAGAGATGACAAAAAGAACATGAAAATGGGGACAAAAAAATTACAACAAAAACGATAAAAAATAGCAAAAAAGGGGCAACAGAAAAAAAACACCAAAGAAGGCGAGCAACAAAGAAGTGAAAAAAAAGGAGATAAAACGGAGACAAAAACCTAACCCACAAAAGAGCCACAATTAAAGGTAACAAAAAAACTACAAAAAAGGCAGCACAAGGAACCACAGAAAGAGCAATAAAAAAAAAGAAATCGACAAGAAAAGGTATTAAAAGGCGGATAAAAAAAACAAAAAAAAGGCACAAAAGGGGCGAGAATAAAGGCATCAAAAGAAAAGACGATAAACAAGAACAAAAAGAAGGAGCACCTATTCCTTCGTCCTGTAGGGGTAATGAATGGTCGAGAAAACGTAAAGTAACGGGAAGTAAAAACGACAAAAAAGGGCAGCAAAGGGAAAGATCAATAAAAAAATGAATTCGACAAAAAAGTTACTAAAGGGTGGACAAAAAAAATACAAAAGGGGCAACAGAAAACACAAGAAATAGAGTGATAAAGAAGCGATAAAAAAGGGAGATAAAAACGTGACCAACAAAAGATACAAAAAAGCAACAAAAAAAAACAAACTCACTAGATTTTCATGGCTAACCCTACTATATAAAGATCGTGAACGGATAATACGTTGATCCTAAAAACGTATGTGTTTATTTTGGAATCTAGCAATAACTGATAGATGTATGTTGTGTTGCATTGAAAATTAGTCAGGCTCCCGTTATTATAATACTCATCGTATTGCATCTAGTACTAGTATTAGTGTTGTTGTAGAAATAGAACCTACAGTATCAACGGGGGCCAAAATATATCCAGCTCGTCGATTTATTGTTGACCACCCAGCCATTTTTATGATCGTGGCAGGAAGTGGTGAAAACACAACCATTTTATTCTGTGGAAAGTTATCACATCCAGAGTACTAAATGGAATGAGTGAGAATGTCGCACGCAGACAAGTTGTACGAGAATCCGTTCTGCAATGTGTGTGCAAATATTGCAAAGAAAAAACGTGTATATTGTTTAAATTGTGAACAATGGTGCCACAAAAGTTGTGCCCAAAGGAAATCGTGTTGTAACGAGAAATTTTTAATGTGTGACTACGTAATCAATGAAACTGAAACTGAAACAAGGGACATCGATAGAATGTTTAGTGAAAAATTAGATGCTGTTGTGTCAACTATGCAACTGAAAATTGAAAATCTGCACGAAGAAGTGAAGGAAATTAAAATCTTATTAACATGTAAAAATGCGACCCATGATGATATGAAGTGCCTGCAAATTGATAACAAAACGACAAAAACTGACGACCTCAATCAAAAGAAAAAGATGATGAGTGTTGAAATGAAAACAAACGAATCATCAGCTGATTGGCAAGCCCTGCCGAGAATAAATTGCAACCAAAGGGATACCTCCACATTAACGGAATTAAGCAATAAACAGCAACAATTGATGTCTGACATCATCAACCTAGAGCTTGAAACCGATACCTTAAATACTCTTAAAACAACAACAAGAAATAGAAATGGTACGACATTAAACTTGGAAAACAAGGTAAATGCAACCGGGAAAACCCAAAGTGATAATAGGAAACAAAAGCCCCAAAACGAATTCTCTCGTACTCCTAAGACTGAAAAGGAAAAAAGTGAAACCCAAGAAAATAAATTTGAGGAAGTCCGTCCTAGAAGATCAAGAAAACGTAATTATAAGGTTGGTGCATGTGAAAGCAGCCCTAGTGAGACCTCTTCATTTATAGGTACGCAACGTAACAAAAAGATCTGGTTATTTATTGCGGGTGCACGGGAGCACGTAACTGAAACAATAGTAAAGCAGTATATAAATGGCAAACTACAGGACTCCTCTCAAACTGAAGTGAAAGAATTAAAAACTTTCCATAAAAAAATTGACAATAAATGCTTTTTCGTCGGTGTCGAATATTTGCATAAGGAGGCAGTATACAATCCGTCATTCTGGCCCATGGGAATACGATTCAGCCGTTTTGACTTCCGAAAAGGTGAACATTTTTTAGACAACCCAAAAGAAACAAGCACTACAAAATCCTAACCTCTTCTTCTGACAGTGAATGCACGACCATAGTAAAGATATTACACCAAAACGTCCAATCCTTAGGAAACAAAACACTAATCATCGAAGTCATCTTATCTACTATGAACATTAAACCAACAATAATGTGTTTTACGGAACATTGGTGTAAGCAAAATATTCACCTAATCAATATAAACGGATATACATTAATGTCGGCATATACGAGGCTCACAGTCGAACATGGAGGTTCCTGCATCTACGTGAGAACTGATGATGTACATCATTTAGGATTTGAAGATATAGAGAAGATCCAACTGTTTAACATCGAATGCCACTGTGAATGTTCTGGTGTCGTAAGTGTTAAATTAAAATTAATAGTGTTATGCGTTTACCGACCACCGAAATCTAATTTCACTACATTTCTCGATACCCTGTGTTTGATTTTAGATGAATGTGAACGAAATTTTAATCTGTATAAAATTATTTTATGTGGAGACATTAATGTAGACCCCATAAAAAGCAAAAATGATTGTAATAATTTAAGAAATATTTTAAATAGCTATAACATGTCACAAAAAATAGATCAACCAACTAGAGTAACACCCACAACGTCATCAATAGTTGATAATGTATTTGTCAATTTTACAGAGTGTGACTGCTCCGTAGTTAACTTTGAACTGTCTGACCACTATGGTCAAATCATAAACATTGTTACCTCTGAAATTAAATCTCAACAAAAAACCATAACCTATAAACGGATTATTTCTATTGATAAGTTAGCTATGTATCGAGAGGAATTACAAAAAGTTGATTGGTCATACGTATACCTAGAATCTAACCCAAATACTGCATATAACGCTTTTTATAACATTATTTATTCCCTTCTTAATCGCATATTTCCAGTTAAACGTCTAGCAACAAAGTCAAACAATACAAATAGTTGGATAACAAATGGTATAAAGAAATCATGTAAAAGAAAATGTGAACTGCATCATTTAAAACTTCGAGGCTTTATCGATAAGGATTACTATAACTATTACTGCAAAGTGTTGAAAAATGTCATAATGGATGCAAAAAGAATGAGTAACGCAGCGATGATTAAAAACTCTAGAAATAAAAGTAAAACTATATGGACGTTGGTAAATAGCTATATGAAACGAAATACTACGCAGGTGTCACTCACTCACAATCTTAACAATCATAATAATAATGTAGACGTTAAAGATACTTTAAATAGTATAAATCACTTTTTCCTAAATCAAGGATTAGCGTCAAAACCCACAAATTCTAATTACTACCCTACTGAAGACCAATGTAATAAAAGCCTTTTTATGTCACCGACAAACTCTATCGAAGTTTTCAATGTTATAAATAGTTTAGCTAACACAACATCTACTGGAGAAGACGAAATACCAGTTAAACTATTAAAATTTGTAGCTCACGAAATAAGTGACCCTCTAACCGACATCATTAATAAAACAGTTATAGAAGCCACATTTCCAGATAAACTTAAAATAGCAGAGATAAAACCAATTCATAAAAAAGGTTCTAAATGCAATTTCGAAAATTATAGGCCGATAGCCCTGCTCTCAAATATTTCAAAGATTTTTGAGAAAATATATTACAAACGAATATCGGAATATTTTGAAAATAACAACTTATTAGTAAATGTACAAAATGGTTTTCGAAGTAATAAATCTACAACAAGAGCCATCTATCAAGCCTTATCCAAAATTATAACATCTTTAAACTGTGGTAAGCAGACTGCAATGATGTGTCTCGATCTGACAAAGGCCTTTGATACTGTCAATCATCAAATTCTGATTCAAAAACTTGAAATGTATGGAGTGAGAGGCATCCCTCTACAACTCATTAAATCCTATCTTAATGGAAGAACACAATGTGTAATAGATTACTATATGGGACAGAAAGTTAAATCTAACAAACTCCCCATTAGTAAAGGAATCCCACAAGGGTCTATTCTCGGGCCGCTCTTCTACTTAATATATGCTAATGATCTTGTTCTATATAGTGAATCTTTTTCAGTGCAATTTGCTGATGACACTAATGTTATTATTAGCGAATCGTCTTGTGAAGATCTAAATAAATCGATTGAAAGAAATCTACAGAAGCTACAACACTGGTGTAGGTTAAATCATTTTCAGCTAAACGATAATAAGACTATTATACTAAAATTCAATTATAAGTCGGATACAGATTGTGATATATCAACACAAAATCAAAGCGTACCACCAGCTAAGAATAAAACCAAATTTTTAGGATTGTGGATCGATACAAAGCTTAACTGGAAAGAACACATAAATATATTATCATCTGAAATATCAAAGTATTGCTTTGCTCTGAAAATGTTATCCAAATCAGCCTCACCAGAAGTTGCAATGATGGCGTATACTGGATATGTAGAATGTAGAATTAGATACGGAATAATATTTTGGGGAAACTCTGTAGATGTAAATAAGATATTCATTATACAAAAGAGATGTATTCGAAGCATTTTCAATCTTAAGAAAACAGATAGCTGTAAACCATATTTTCTTGAAAAAAAAATACTAACTTTAACAAGCCTGTACATATATGAATGTGTCATGTTTATTCTCACTCATAAGGATCTTTTTACAGAACATGAGCACACTCACACTTATGATACACGCTTCAAAAATAACTTTGATTGTGAAATGATGAACTACACTTACCTCCAAAAAAATGTTTTATTTTCAGCATTAAAAATATATAACACTCTACCAATGCAATTAAAATTAGGAAATTTAAGACATATAAAATTAAAACTAAAACATTTTTTGTTAAAAAATGCGTATTATAATATAAAAGAATATCTTAATACCCAGTTGTAATTGTTATAAGTATGTTGTATGTATGTGTATATTAACTAAATGACATGTAATACGTCTCCGACTTTTTATGTATAATAAACTTACTTACTTACTTAACTAATTAATTTTTATTTGTATTGTACATAAACTGAAATTTATGTTTAGGCTGTATCCATATGCATTACGATCCAGCTGTAATAAGGCGACGTCCTTGTATACCCAGACGGATCTGTACTTTCGCACCACGGGTACTAATAAAGCTGGAGATATCCACAACGTACTGCTTGTTATTGATTTCCGCTATTAGCGGCCCACCACTATCCCCCTAAAAACGAAAAACAAATCCTTGATTTAAATAAAATAACAAAAATAATTACGATGCAAGCTCCTTCGTTATAATTTCCAACAGCACAAACCATACTGTTGATTATTGCATCACCGAAACTAATTTGGCATTCCGCGTTAGATAAAGTACTAACGGTGACGTAGTTTAGGTGATTGGTAAGACCAGCGGTATCTACAACAACGTAAAGGACATCAGTCGAAACACCCTGTATATGAATACTTACCATCACTGGTTTGACCCCAGCCGATCGCCATTACCTCAGTGTTGGCAAACAATTCATCTCTTTCAGTGGGTAGATTAATAGGTTGTATGTAATCTAAACAAAAAAAAAATCCAAATAGGTACTCGATTTAATAATAATAATTATTATTATTAAATACAACCTGTCAGTTTTATGGGTACATGGAACATGAGGAGCGCAATATCATTCTCAAGAGTTTCTGGATTGAAATCTCTATGTATAACCCGTGAATTTGTAGACAAAATTAGACGATTTGGGTCGCTGCCTTGCAACGTAGTGGATCCTAAGACCACCTGACAGTTAAGAGTTCTGCAAAAACGGTACTATTTTTGAAGGTTTGTTTTAACAATGTAGTTTTACGTACGAAGTGACACAATGTGCAGCCGTTAGAACAAACTGGGGATTGGTGAGTGTGCCACCACAGAAGTAAGTACCGTCTGCTTTTGTTGCGTAGATGGCGGCAGCTGAGGGAAATTGTCCCACTCTTGCGTCTGTACCTCCAATAATGCGGCCTCCATTAGGTGGAACTTGACGCTAATATTTTCACAATGTGTTGTTTTTGGTACCCCAAGTACTATGACGATAATTTAAGTATGTACTTACAGTTTCTAAAAATGGTACCAGGACTGTTATACAAAGAAATAAGAAATAATGTTGTGTCATGTTTCACATTCCAGCTAAACTTTTATACTATCGTTTTTTTATAGAACAAGAAAATGGTTACAATATGGATTAACGTATTTTGGACACATAAAAATTTATTGGTTTTTATTAGCTAGTGACAGATAAAGATAATATCTTGCTGCGGATTAAAAATATCAATAAAGCCTCTTTATAATGTCTAAAAACTATAAAAGAGAAAAATTACACAATTTCTGCGCCGTCAAAATCCAGTAGAACACACGGGTCATAGTTTTACAACATTTACTGTCATGTTTAACCGCAATAAAGTTGTTTATTTTTGTTGTAATATATGAAGCATTTAGGCAACCAGTTATACAGATGCGTTGGTATTTGTCGTGCGTCCTTGGGCGTTTAGTAAAGTCTAAAACTGAAAGGCGGCACGTTTTCATGACCTATTTCGATCCTATAATCATTTACAGAAACCCTGCAGTGTTGAGTTTTTACCTTAGACCTCAAATTTTTGGGAAAAAGTCAACATTTTACATTTATAATTACTGGAAGCATATTAAATCATTAGTCAAAATTTATCCATCCATGCCCCCCAGAAATTGATGATGTCATCTTACAATTTTGTCGAATAAATGTTATTTAAATGTTAAAAGTATCACACCTGTGGTTTTTAAATACGCTATCGAGATTTTTCGGCTTTTCGATTTTTCAACTTAGATGTCACAATTTTTCAATATGTAAATTTTGGGTTTTTTCAATTTTTCCATTCTTCAAATTTTCGATTTCTTCCTTCATTTTTGGGATTTTTCAATTTTTCGATTTTTCAACTTTTCGATTTTTAAACTCCTGTATTTTTTGATTTTTCGATTTTTTATATTTTGGATTTTTAATTTTCCGTTAAACTTTACATTTTCAAATTTTTCGAGTGTTTTATACTTCGCTTTCTCAATTTTTCAACTTCTGGATATTATTTTTCATTGGAGTTATCGAAAAAATGAAAGCAGATATGACTTCTGCGGCACGAAATCTACAAAAAATTTATCTAGTGAAATTTCGAAAATTTCGTTGAAAATTGATCGAAAATTGGTGGTATTTTGCATATTTTTGTATACTTCAAAGGACGATTCTGGAAAAACCATTGGATTTATCGAAGAAGTGAAAGCGGATATGACTTCTGCGGCCCGAAATCTACAAGAAAATGTGTTTAGTGAAATTTCGAAAATTTTGTGAAAATTGGTCGAAATTTGGTGGAATTTTGCATATTTTTGTATACTTAAAAGGACTATTCTGGAAAAACCATTGGATTTGTCGAAGAAGTGAAAGCGGATATGACTTCTGCGGCCCGAAATCTACAAGAAAATGTGTTTAGTGAAATTTCGAAAATTTTGTTGAAAATTGGTCGAAAATTGGTGGTATTTTGCATATTTTTGTAAACTTCAAAGGGCGATTCTGGAAAAACCATTGGATTTATCGAAGAAGTGAAAGCGGATATGATTTCTGCGGCCCGAAATCTACAAGAAAATGTGTCTAGTGAAATTTCGAAAATTTCGTTAAAGATTGGTCGAAAATTGGGGTATTTTGCATATTTTTTAAAGTTTCAAAGGACGATTCTGGAAGGACCATTGGAGTAATCGAAGAAATGAAAGCGGATATGACTCCTGCGGCTCGAAATTAACAAGAAAATGTATTTAGTGAAATTTCGATAATTTTGTTGAAAATTGGTCGAAAATTGGGGTATTTTGCAAATTTTTGAAAGCTTCGAAGGACGATTCTGGAAAAACCATTGGAGTTATCGAAGAAATGAAAGCGGATATGACTTCTGCGGCTCGAAATTAACAAGAAAATGTATTTAGTGAAATTTCGATAATTTTGTTGAAAATTGGTCGAAAATTGGGGTAGGTATTATGCATATTTTTCAATGTTTCAAAGGACGATTCTGGAAGAACAATTGGAGTTATCGAAGAAATGAAAGCGGATATGATTTCTGCGGCTCGAAATTTGCAAGAAAATATATTTAGTGAAATTTCGAAAATTTTGTTGAAAATTGGTCGAAAATTGGGGTATTTTGCATATTTTTCAATGTTTCAAAAGACGATTCTGGAAGAACCATTGGAGTTGTAGAAGAAATGAAAGCGGATATGACTTCTGCGGCCCGAAATCTACAAGAAAATGAATTTAGTGAAATTTCGAAAATTTTGTTGAAAATTGGTCGAAAATTGGGGTATTTTGCATATTTTTGAAAGTTTCGAAGGACGATTCTGGAAGAACCATTGGATTTATCGAAGAAATGAAAGCTTGAGTTCTAAAAATTCCCAAAGTTTTAAAAAATCGTAAATTTTTTAGTTCTAAAAGTTCTTAAAAATGTATTTAAACATTTCTAATTGTTCCAATTTTCTTAACGATCACAAAGTTCTTAGAGTTTTTAAAGTTTTAAAGCTCTCAGAGGCTTCAAAATTCTCAAATTGAGGTTCTTACAGTTGCTCTTGCCGTCCTCGAAGTCTTTATAATTTTCCAAAATTTCCGAAGTTTTTGTATTTTTTGAAACTTTTTAAATGATCAAAGTTCTCAAAATTTCTACAATTCTTTAAGATTTTAAACTTCACAAAAGTTTTTAAAGTACTTGAAGTTCTCGAAGCTTTTAAAATCGTAACATTTTTTAGTTTTAATAGTTCTTAAAAATTAAAAAAAATATTGCTTTAAGTTTCTTAAAGTTCACAAAGTTCTTAGAGTTTTTTATGTTTTAAAGCTCCCAAAGTCCTCAAAATTTTCATAAACTTATCGAAGTTTCTGATTCCCAAAATTCTTCATTGAGGTTCTTAAGTTGTTCTTGCAGTCCTCATAGCCTTTAAAATTTTCCAAAATTTTCGAAGTTTTTGTATTTTTTGAAATTTTTAAATGATCGAAGTTCGCAAAATTCTCGAAATTTTCGAAGTTCTCAAAAGTCTCAAAATTCTCAAGCCCCCCAAAGTTTACAAAAATCTGACAGTTTCTAAAATTCTTAAATATTTTAAAGCACTCAGTGTTTTTAATAATTTTAATATTCTTAAAATAAGTTTTCAAAGATTTTAAACTCCACAAAATTTCCAATGTTCTTGAAGTTCTCGAAGCGTTTAAAATCCTTAATTTTTTTGATTTTAATAGCCCTTAAAAATTTAATTTTTTTTAATCGTGTTAACTTTCTAAAAATTCACAAAATTCTTAGAGTTTGTTAAGTTTTAAAGTTCCCAAAGTCCTCAAAATTCTCATAAACTTATCGAAATTTCTGATTCTCAAAATTCTCAGATTGAGTTTTTGCAGTCCCCAGTATTTAAAAGCTTTTTGTATTTTTGAAATTTTTAAATGATCGAAATTCTCAAAATTCTCTAAGTTCGCAAAATTGGCGAAATTTTCGAAGTTCTGAAAAATCTCAAAATTCTCATAAGTTTTCTAAGTTCCTGAGTTTCTAAAAACTTTCAAAAAATTCTTAAATATTTTAAAGTTCTCAGTGGTTATAATAACGAAAAATGTAGCCCCGCCCACCCGCCTTACCTCAATTCTGATGATATAATTTTATCCGTCTCAATCTTAAACGTGATCAATGTTTCACTCGAGCGTAATTACAAAATCGATATTTCTCTATACAAATTTACCATTTTAGACATGTTTTAAGTCACTTGTTGTGAAAAGATGACTACACATATTAAGAAAAAAAGACAAAAATCCAAAACAAACTTAAAATTCATTAATAGCATGTAAACTAATCCTAAACGTTGGTCCATTTTGCAAGAAAAGACTTTGAAAATTATCATCAGTTAAATTAATATGATGCTAGAGGATAATGCGGTGAATTATGTAATAGCTCGTCCCCGTGGAGATGAATATGTGTTGTAGCTTGTAAACTAACAACTATTGATAGTTACGATATTCGATTTATGAATAATACAAGATATTTGCAAGCAATGAAGGTACACAAAGTATTTTTTGCAATATCGTACGCTCCAGTCCGATCGGTTTATTAATAAATAATAATAATTGTCTTTAATCTATTTTCTAGATAAATTACGATTGTTAATCAATATTTCTAACTTGTACTAACCGCACATATGTATTATTGTTGAGGCGAAATGAATTTCGAACATCAAAATGGAATCAAAGCTAAAATTAATAATATTCAAGTGGAATTAATAACGTTTATTACTATTTTCGCTTGTAGATTTGGAAAGCAGTATACACGGGATTTTCAATTTTTTTATGAAGCAGACGTCCATTAAATCGCGCTCCTTTGAAAAATTATAAAATTATATTTTGCACAAGTACGGACAATGAAAAATTTATTTAATGCAGATAACCAACTGGAAAAAATGACCTCTCAGCAAAACCAACAAGCTTTAAATTCAAGTGTTTGTTTATGCATCGCATGAATTCCACGTAGAAGCGATATGAAGTCGGCAAACGGAGAACAGTAGCTCAGTTTCATACGAAGTTCTGTACTTTACCAAAGCAACTAAAAAAATATATTGCAGAAATAATAATAATCGAATTTTATAATTTTTCGAAGAAGCTGGATTTAATTTATTGCATTTTAGGGGCGAGGGACGTTCTGTCGAAATAACCTTAGACCAATTTTTTATTTCATAAAATTAAAAGAAAATGCTTTAACAGCTTTAGTATGGAATATCAGTTAATTATTGCAATTTTTATTAAAAAAGTAAGCAAATTTCTGACTAATATTGTCCTTTGTTCGTTGGAATAACTTTAGATAGGAATCTAGACCAAAACTACTTCAAGTCATTTTTTTTCACTACTTTTACAGTATTTTGAAAAGTTGTTTGTTTGTTATCACAGCGCAATGAAAATAATATTTTAACGCTCTAGGAGGCATCTTCTTCGGGATACAATCTATCAAATTACCTCTCGACAATCTCTGATAATAATTTCTGAAACGTATATATTTTCGATAATATAACTTTAACAAACTATTTCTATCAATTCATGTAATATCACTATAATTACCCTCATCAGATATTCTTTGAAAATTACTAAGATTATTAATCGATACGTCTACCCTGACCATAATCCAAGCATAATAATGCCTAGTCTTTAAAAGCCAGGTTAACGGAAGAGAAATGAATTTCCAACATCAGAATGAAATGAAAGGTAAAACTAATTCTAATTAATTAAATTTACTAATTTTACACCAATATTTTCAGATGATCCTCTAAAACTGCTATATGTAGCAGGATATAAGATTTTTCAGAACGAATTCGTTCAATCCACATTAAAAATTTTAATTTTCATCATTCCTCTAATTTTGCTCATCCAGATAGGCTTTTGCATCTCGTCACCAATTTCTCTTAAATTAATTCAATACGGACTAATTTTCGCGCAAATGTCTTTTGTAACAATATTCGTGTAGAGCTTTCAGAGTAGTACACGTTTTTTCTAGGTCGTCTTTGCTTCGTTCGTTCATATATACAAAAGTAACGGAATTGAAGACGCCTTGAGTAACTTTCCACTTTGGGACTTCGACACAGCTGGTGAAAAAATCAAAAACAAAATCAAAAACGAAACGAAAATGATCAAAACTTTTGTAATCGTGGTGTTGTTAACAGGTTTGCTATGGGGCAATCTAGTTATATATTCTTCGTTGGGCGTTGTTCAGTCCAGAAATTTTCTTCTAGATACATGTGACTACATTTTCTCCGTTTTAAGATTAACATCTCACGTGGCTTTTTTGACTATAATGGCCCACCCATTTCAAGTCCTTTATGTAAGTCAACATTTGAAATTTCAGATGTATTTGTTCAACAAGTACATTGAGGACGTTTGTTTTATGGATGGAAAAGAAAACGAAGAAGAGAATTTAGTGGATGATCAAGAATACCAAGAAGAAATTAAACTTAGACTGCGGCTAGTGGTCAGAAGACACTGTGAATTTAAAAGGTAAGTGGAAATTTTTATTTGAAGTACAGAAATTTCACAAAATATGTAAAAATGTCCTGTCCTTATTTCCAGATCACGAATTCAGTGTCTCGAAACTATGGGCAACCTTATAATACCGTTTAGTGTGTGCGTTGGTGTTCTTTTATTTATGAGCATGTATACTTTTTTAGTACGTATTGTGTTTGATACTTCTTATATGTATATATATTTTTTCCCTCTAGCGCTTAGAAGGGTCAGAGACCATCGTTATATGCTACAACGCAATCGCTACTTTTATGACTATCTCTGGATTCGTTATTATGATCACAGCATGCGAAACTTTACAAGACGAAGTAAATTTATAACTGCTTGTATTTGTTCTGACTGTCTTTTTTTAGTCTGAGAACACATTCACAACTCTCGTGATGACAAAATGGTATGATTTTAACAACGAAAATCGAAAAATGTTTCTGTTGCTGTTGTGTAACAATATCAAACCCATAAGCATTGACTTTACGGGAGAAATTACTGTAAACTATCGTTTAGGAATGGCTGTAAGTATATTTTCGATGTTCGAATTTTCAGATATATCTTTTATTTGTAGATTAGCAAAGCGGTATACACAGCAGTTTCAATTTTTTTTAAGTACGTATAACAATGAGTTTTTTTGGTTTTTGCTAAGACGTGCCAGATAATGTTTCAGTCAATGTGTCACATGTTTAATAGTATGTAAGGTACACATATTTCCATTAAGCTTCAATATTTTTTCAAAAATTTATTTTCATACTTTGTCGAAAATTCACACTAGAGCAACAGATAAGTAGAGATTTAATTGTTGCATTGTTATTGTTATTATGTTGATTCCATGATAAGACTTTTACTTGTATATTAACTTGTAATAGTGGTCTAGGGAAACCTAAACCATCTAGATGGACGAACTAGGGGAAACCACACTTCTGAATTTTTTTTGGGACCATAATGGGCTGTCACTTTTACTTTTAGTGAAATCATTTACTATGTAAGTAGTAACAGGTAACCATATTATTAGTTCAAGTCACCAATTACTACTAAATTAGAATTAAATGCTTTAACAATTAGTCTTCACTGTACTCTCGTCGAACAAAATAATGGAATAAAAGTGGTGAAAATGTTGGAAGACTTTTATTACCCGTCTTCGAAAATGTCACAAATTGAGGAATGACATCAGATGATTTGGAGATCAAACTAATAAAATATTTTGAAAACCTGCATTTATTGCGGTCATTTCCGCTGCATGAAAAAAGAAAACATGTTAAAAGAAAACACTTCCCTGCTTTGGTCATGGATCAAAAATCATCCACAACTAATTTATAGAAGAAAAAATGTTTAATAATGAAAATAACACTTTTTTCACTTAAAATCATAATAAGTGTTTGTTTCACGATTTTGTAGATTTTGAGAAATTTATAATGTGTTAAATTGACACTTGCATCTTTTGTCTAAATTTTGACCTTTATTATTAAAATACAAAAAAAAATGTGCAACACATTTTGAAAGGTGCTTTTTTTAGTCGTTTGATAAACACACTTTAAACTTGTGAAAAACACATGACTCTCAAAACTTGTAGCACAAATTTTTTAGTTTAATACTGATTTTTATCTCAAAAAAAGAGTCAAGATTCGCTACCGTTTTTTTTTCTTGTTCGTGTATTCCAAAAACACGCAGTATAATCTCATTTCTTGTAATAAAAAATATTTTTGGGTTTTTTCGATCATCGTTAAATTAAATAAGTGTAAGTTATTCAGTACGGTAACTTAACAAATTCATTAGTAATAGTCCCATTTAAAAAAATATTTGGTAAACACAACGAAAATACGTAGTTTGTGTAGTGCAAGATGCATTATTTTGGGCTCGGGTAGCACACATAATTTTCTTTTTATTGTGATGATTTTGTGAAGTATCATTATGCTTAACATGTTTAATTGGGGTATTTTGCATATTTTTGAATGTTTCAAAGGACGATTCTGCAAAAACCATTGTAGTTATCGAAGAAATGAAAGCGGATATGACTTCTGCGGCCCGAAATCTACAAGAAAATGTATTTAGTGAAATTTCGAAAATTTTGTTGAAAATTGGTTGAAAATTGGGGTATTTTGCATATTTTTGAATGTTTCAAAGGAAGATTCTGGAAGAACCATTGGATTTATCGCAGAAATGAAAGCGGATATGACTTCTGCAGCCCGAAATCTACAAGAAAATATTTTTAGTAAAATTTCGAAAATTTTGTTGAGTATTGGTCGAAAATTGATGTATTTTGCATATTTTTGAATGTTTCAAAGGACGATTCTGGAAGAGCCACAGGAGTTATCGAAGAAATGAAAGCGGATATGATTTCTGCGGCCCGAAATCTACAAGAGAATGTATTTAGTAAAATTTCGAAAATTTTGTTGAAAATTGGTTGAAAATTGGGGTATTTTGCATATTTTTGAATGTTTCAAAGGACGATTCTGCAAAAACCATTGGAGTTATCGAAGAAATGAAAGCGGATATGATTTCTGCGGCCCGAAATCTACAAGAAAATGTGTTTAGTGAAATTTCGAAAATTTTGTTGAAAATTGGGGTATTTTGCATATTTTCGAATGTTTCAAAGGACGATTCTAGAAGAACCAATGGAGTTATCGAAGAAATAAAAGCGTATATGACTTCTGCGGCCCGAAATCTACAAGAAAATGTATTTAGTGAAATTTCAAAAATTTGTTGAAAACTAGTCGAAAATTGGGGTATTTTAATAATAATAATAATAATAATAATATATTTATTTATCCAGCAGACTAATATATAGTCCATAGTGGATACAACCACAGGAACAATATTAAATTTACAATAAACACATAAACAATATTAAATTTACAATAAACACATAATGCTCACAACATTGGTACACTTACACATGATTCAATTCCAACAATTGTTTCCTTACATTAGCTTTACTAAAATTATGAAAAAATATATCTAGACGACCATCACAAACAGAATTATATAAGCGAAAAGCATATATCAATGGACAGTTATAATGATGAAAAGTATTGGGTATAGCAAAATAAAATAACTTTGGACATCGGCTAATTTGTCTTGGGATGTTGAATTTGATTTCATGGAGAAGCTCCTGACAACATATCTGACCTAAAGTGAGTTTTTGTAGAAAAATTAAACTAGCTGCATTTCTTCTTCTTATTAAAGATTGTTCATTGACAATAGACAATAAACTAGATTGATCACAATGTCTGCTTGGATACCTATTATACATTTTTAAAAATAAATACTTTGCAAATTTGCGCAAGACATTCTCTAACAAGTCAATATATTTTTGGTAATACGGCTTCCATACAATGCAACAATATTCCATTCTTGACCTTACTAAAGCATAAAAAAGTATTTTGATACATTGTATGTTAACAAAATCCATAGTGTTACGACGAATAAATCCTAGCTGTTGCATAGCAGTCTTGGTGACATGCAGGATGTGTGGGGCAAATGACAAACTACAGTCCATAACAACACCTAAATCAGATATCTGTTGACAATTCTCAAGTACATAACCATCTAAATTGTAATAATAGGAAATAGGTTCACGTGTACGAAAGAAGGTAATCTTTTTACATTTACTTTTGTTAATTTCAAACTTATTACTATTACATAACATAACATAACATAACATAACATAACATAACATATTTATTTGTACAGATAAACATATAACACTGTTTTTGTACACGTCAACATACAACAAAACAAATTTTTTTTACAATATCTACATGGAATTTGTGTAAGGCAAGACCTAGTAACGTCCAACAAAAACCTCCACATATAACTATTTAAGATCGACACATACTTTATAAATGAATAGGAGGTGTTTGTTTGTATTCATCCACCGAGTAAAAATTGTGCATTTTACAATGTTTCGTTATTTTGTGTTTGAACGTTGTCAGTGGAAGGTTTTTGTATGATTCTGGGAGATTATTATACATACTTATGTCCAAGGAGTTTTTAATGGATTTTGTGAATTTGTATTTAGCAGTTTTGATGTGCTGAGCTTGCCTAGTATTATACGAATGAACATCTGAATTTTTAACCATCGTTTTCTGCTTCTTATGGATTTCAATTAGCATACTAATGATGTAAAGACATGGAAATGTTAAGATGCCGTATTTTAGGAACAAGGGCTTGCAATGGTCACGTAAGCTGGCATTTGCAAGAATTCTGACCGCTCGTTTTTGGAGTCGGAATATTTTAATCGCATAACTACTACTTCCCCAAATCAATATACCATACATAAGACGAGACTGGAACAGAGCGTGATAGGCTGAAAGGAGTAAATTGAAGCTCAGTAAGGGTCGTAATTTTCTCAGGAGAAAAATGGTGCTAGCTAATTTAGAAGAAACTTGGTTGATGTGTGCTTGCCAGTTTAAACCATCGTCTATCGTTATACCTAGGAGTTTAATATTTTTTCCATTTAGCAAAGTGGGATTTGTCGATAGGAATAATTCCTGCGTCTTATTTTTGTTAAGACATAGTCCATTTGTATTAAACCAAGTTTCTATATTCTGTTTCCTTTCGTTTATTAGTTCTTTAAGTCTAACTGGATCCTTGTCAGAGACTATACTGGTGGTATCATCTGCGAACAGAATTGCGTCGTCTAAATCGTTTATCATTAACAGAAACAATAGTGGTCCCAGGACGGATCCCTGCGGTACGCCATATTTCACGTTACGATATAGTGACTCTTCATTGGCAACAACAACTTTTTGTTGTCTGTTTCCCAAGTAAGATTCGAAAAATGACCAAGCAGTTCCCCGAATTCCATAGTGTGCCAATTTTTCGAGAAGGTTTCCATGATCGACACAATCAAAGGCCTTGCTGAGGTCAAAGCAGACCAAAGAGGTGTGCATGTTCTCCTCAAAACCCTCAACAATACCCTCAATTACAGTTAAAACAGCGTCTATTGTCGACTTTCCAGATGTAAAACCAAACTGGAGATTGTTGAGTGTTTTATTTTTTGATAAAAAGTTCGAGAGCCTAACTTTAACAAGTATTTCAATTAGTTTACCTAAAATCGGTATTATGGAGATCGGGCGATAGTTGTTCACGTCTTGTGGATCGCCATTTTTGAAAATTGGGACTACTCTTGACTTTTTCATAGCATCTGGAAAGACTCCCTGAGAAAAACATGCATTTATAAGTTTACAGAGAGGCTTCGCGTAGATATCGATAGTTTTTTTTACTATTTTGGTGTTTAGATTGTAGACATCAAAAGAGTTTGTATTCTTTAGAGAATTTGCCGTCGAGATCAATTCATCTATCGTTGTTGGTACAAGAAAAAATGAACCAGCAGGGGAGGGTCTACTTGACATATATTCACCTGGTGTGCCCGCTACTGGTGGAAGATTTTTAACGACTGATTCTGGGAGAGACGTAAAGTGCAGGTTAAATTTCTCACTTGAGATCGCACTTCCAGTAATATGTTGTTTTTTGTTTCGTTCGTGATTTATTAGTCGCCAAGCACCCTTCGACACGGAGCTGGCCCGCTCTATATATGAGTCGTACGCTTTTTTCTTTGTCTCATTTATTAATTTATTATAGTCAGTTTTCAATCTTCTCAGAGTATTTATATCTACGGGGTCCTTTGTAACTTCACTTACGATTTTTACGGCGCTCAAAGTGTCTCTAAACTGCCTAAGCTCTTTACTAAACCATGGAGCAATCTGCGACTGGTCATTTTTGCACTTTTTCAGGGGAAGATGTTCGTTTATAAGCTGGGAGAGCGTACCAACTATAACTGAGCTTGCAGCGTTGACATCTAATAAAGGCCTATAGAAAATACTCCAATCAACTTCAAGCAAAGACTGTCGAAGCTTTGCTATCCCAACATCAGTGATAGGTCTCGTCCACGTAATGGGTTTTGACTGAGAAGAGTGTATTTGCATCTTAATGTATTGACCATAATGATCCGAGAGGACAGGTTCAATAACGCCCGTCTCATACTCCTCTACAAGATTCGTTAAGATGTTATCTACACAACTTTTAGAGTGTTTACTAACTCTCGTATAATCCGA